ATGGAAGATTGGTGCATGAATAATCCAACAACAGCGAATATGAACATGAAAAAGGAATACATTATGATTATATTGTTTAACTTTTCTCTAATTGTGGCTTTTTGAATGGGTTTGTTCCCCTAAAAACAACAAATTGCAGTATTTGCATTACTCTATGTTCCCAGGTTAATGGTTTTTGTATGGATTAAACACCCAAGACACAACATGTTAATTAGTGAGCTTAGAGTTACTGGTTTCAAGGATTTTGTAAAAACTGCATATAGTTCGCTGAATCCTTCTGTTTGCTGCCTTAATGCTTAGCTGAGTTGTTCCCACACTGACAAAACTGAAACGGTGACTTTAATTAAATGTATTATGTCAACAGATGTCACTGTATTATGTTTGTTGAAAGCAATAATATTAAGTTAAAAATACAAAATATTAGGTTCAACCTAATATAATTGCTTTTAACTTACCTAATACAGTTATGTGAAAATTGTCAACGGTTCAGTTTTTTCAGTGCATGAGCGAGTATTTACCAGACAGACATGACAGAAGTATTAATGTGATTCATCCAACCCTGAGGAATAAAGCAAATAGGTATATTCCTAAAATGCTAAACTCTTCCTTTATAAAAAGTGACTGCCACCTGTGCAAAGTACTGATTCGGAATTTTAACATTCTGTTCATGAAACTTTAATCTCCCGTTGACTTACAAATAGACACCTTTCTCCCTACAGGCCAACAGGATGTGTACGATAAAACTGGCAACAACAACACAGTAGAGGTAAGTGCTAAGCCACTCTTGCCTCCCTCAGGTAAGTGCATGCGTCCCCTGCTATGTGGGTGTGGTTCTGTCTGTCTGTGTGTGTCTGTGTGTGTGTGTTTGCGTGTGTGAATGAGCGACTAGATAGGGACGCATCCTGGAAAAAAAGTTTGCTTTGTGCTTTGCTTTAAAAGAGCTCGGCCTTAGGCACATCCCCACTTTGCAGGCACAGATACAAAGGCCACTGAGAGGAGTGTGCAATAGTGGCGCTCCAAACTATCTCTCTGTGTGCCTCGTGAGTGGATCAGCAGCCACTCTACTTGCTATATAGCATCCCTTCTTTCATCGGCTGCTGCTGCCAGCCTTACTGTATAAGCTTTTGCAAGCCACCATAAGCCTGGCTGGCTCCTAGAATACCATCTAAAGTACAAAGCCAGATAAGCTTGATAGTGTTAACAGTCTGAGTGTGTGTGGGCGGGGGAATGTCTGTGAAACCCGCCCTTATTTTAACTCAGCATACAGTCATAGAGGCTGTTTACCCCTTTCCAATTTCCTCTGTTTCTATCCTTTCCATTCTTTCCTGTCTCCCCTGCCTCTCAGTCAGTCCTTTAGAGTTGTACATTAGTGTGTTAGGGAGACACTACGCCCTCGGTGTCACCTCTCCTTTCCTGACGCTCCCTTAAACTTTTAGCTTCTCATTCTGCCACTCATTTACCATGTTCTCACACCCACACACACATCAAAATCAAAACGTTCACGTCATGACCTCTGACCAAAATCTCTTCTTATCCCGTTACCCTTTTCTGTTTCTGGGCTGGTGTGTGTAAAACATTTTTGAGAGAAAGTGTAAATCATGTAAATAAACATGATTGGGAGAAAAAGAGAGACGGAGTGTGTATTTTGCATGCGCTCGCTCTGCATACCAACCTGCATGCCTGCATGCCCATGTGCGTAACACACCAGAGGGCTGCGTAGAGGCTGCGTTCAGGCTGGTAACTCCTCATGCGTTCTCTGACTGTTCCTAAACTAGGTGTCAATTCACAACAGGCTGCAGACCTATCAACTGAGCCCGCCCAGCATTGAGTCCCTGCCTCTGGCCCTGACCGCGCCCCCCGCCCTGCTCAGCCCCATGCAGCCTGGAGACCTCCGCCCAGAAACACTCATCCAGTGCCAGCAGATAGTGAAGTTGATCGTGGTGGACCAGAGCGGGCGGGGGCGGATGGAGGCCTTCCTCAGCCAAGGCCCAGCCACACATCAGCTCATACAGTCGGCCATGTCCACGCCTGTGCATGTCAGAGAGGGGGACGGCCCCCAGCCTCCTCTGCCGCCTCCCCCTCCACCTTACAACCACCCCCACCAGTTCTGTCCCCCTGACTCACCCAGGCCCCTCCACCACACCATGCCTCTCATGCGCAGGCGCAACTCCAGCGGCTCCCGCAGCATCGTCTAAGAGGCTCCTCTATGAACCCTGGGGGCCGGACTTGAGCCCCTCACTCACACAGCGACACACATGCTGGAGTGCTAGCCAACTCCCTTTGAGTGGTCAGATTAAAGCATTGCTAAAAAAAAAGTGAGGAATATACTGTGTAAGTCGGAAAAAATGACAAAGGAAAAGGACACCAACAGGACTTTATTCAGAGTCCTGACTCAGTGGTGGCTTTTTTGAACATGGACTAGATTTGATGCCATTTCGAAAGACAGCTTTTCTCCTTTCTTTTGTCTAACATGTCACCCGGTAGCTGATGGTGTTGTCTGTCTAGATTTCACACTCTTCAAAAGATCTTGTGACTTTGCATTTTTAAAATGTCACCTATCCAACAAATGTGTCTGAGAGCTATAACTGTGAAACCAGGGAGCCAGATCAGAAGAGCAAACCGGCAGTCCTGAGAGGAAAAGGGAGGGCTTGAAATACGGATACAAGTTTTTTTGTGCTCTCTTTCAGGATATTGATTAATTGTTATTGTATTCTATTGTTAAGTTCTCACCCTTTTTTTTGGTCTTTGGTTTCGATCGAATTAGTTTAGAGTCATTTCAGCAGAGCTAATGTAGCTTCTCACTGCAATGCTTTTTTTTCTCATGTCTGCACAGTAGTGTCAGCATATTTGTTTCCTTTATTTCCTAGTGAACAGTTAATGATTGGGTGATGAGATATGCCAAGAAGAAGGTAAAGAGCTCTAGCATCTCCACCCTGCCGTGTGCAGTAAAGGGCAGTAAGCTATGATGTTGCTACTCACTCAATTAACCTAAAACCTGATGACAATCATACTTTTTTGTGTTTCATTGTTGTTTGTTTTCCTAAACTTTTGTATGCAGATATGTTCACAGTGGTGTGTGAGTGTCCTGATTCTGTTTGCCCTCACACAGCTCAGGAGAGGATTTGCTGCACTGCAACATGTAATATCTGAGAGCAGCGTGTGTGTTCAGTCTGCTTACTCATGGGCAGCAGGGAGTGGGACTGGTAATTAATCCAAAACAAGACTAAAACAGCCAGATCAAGCCTTTCTCTTTCGGTATATTTGCTTGTAATGGGTTACCTAGTGTGCACATTGCTGTTACCTTGGGATTTAGGCAATATCCGTGCCTAAAAAAACTCTCTTTAGTTTAAAAATGAACAGAAATTGCTCCACACAAGGCAGACCAAGGTCACCATCACTCCCCTCACAAATTATATTTATCCTTGCACAGTGAAAATGTTATATAAACAGAGATGCATTCATATACTGAATGCTAATCAGGGGAAAACTGAAGATGTCCATGGAATATTTATTGATTTAATCATCAGGTTGTCTTTCCAGGGTCGATGGTTCGAGCCAGTTTGTACAGCAGATCGCAAATCATCCAACTGAGACACACCAAACACGTCTTGTACCTTTTGCACCACAGAATATATTGGATATATTGTAAATAGATGATATAGATTTATTCTAAAAAAGTGATTGGTTTGCCCAGTGTGTGTATCTACGTATGTATTTGTACAGAGAATAATCTAGTTTAAAAAAGAGGATATAATAGCTATTATAATTATTATTTCTATGATTATTTTATTTATTATCATCATGATTATTATTCACATCAGGGGTTGTCCTAAATCCTACCGCTGCGAGAGACAGGCAGCTTTTATAGAATAAACTCCAGTTTCCATGGTAACACATGCTATATTAATGCCGATACACATTTATCATGAAATTATACCGTGTCATATTATTATAGATTATTAAGAGATGGCTGTGTCACCTGTTAAGGTGTGTAAGGGCTATGCTGTATTGGTGAATACGTGCAGTAAATACACACACACACACATACACAAATGCTGCCAAAGCAACAGCAAATCCAGCGTATATTTACCTTAGAAACGGCTTGATTTCTTAAGTCAGCACCCCACTTTGTTTACTGTAAACTCGGACTGACTTGTACAAAAAGCATGATATTGTTTTTATTTTTATTTACAGGGAATTGATTATATGTTTGTATCATAATTGTTCCGGGCATGTTGGGTTGATTGATGTCATCTTCTCCCCTCTCTCTCTACTTCCTCCCTCCTTTCTGCCCCACCCCTTACCATCAACCCCTGCCTTCTCTATGGTTGTCATGGAGACGCACCAATCTGCATCCTCACTGTGGAGCACTGTCATTAATCTTTGCACCCTCACAATATTTCTAAAAAGGGAGATTTCTTAAAGATCAACATGTTTACTAATGGAATATTTCTTATTTTTTCTGTTCTAAGAGAATGAAAGAATAAAGTAGTTTTTACTCTCTGCCCTGGACTGTCTGATTGTGTGTGTGTGTGTCTGTGTGTGAGTGTGTGTTGACGGCCGAATTGTCTCCATGCTTCTGTGCCCCCCCCTCGGCCTCTCTAATGAATGTGCTCCAGGTGTGTGAGGAGGACGGCTGAATGAAGGAGCTTATGGGAAATCAGTCTGCAGGTGTTCTTGTCCACCCAGCACAGCGGGTCTAGACTCATTCATTAACAGAGGAGAAAGCAGTATTGAAACTGACTTGTACCGTCAGAATATGTGTTGTTGGTCCGCCAAATAAGGTAGGTGGAGCAAACACTCTACACACTAATTCACTGAGGAGTAAGGCTAGCTATTTTTTTTCCAATCTCTACTAGCTTTGCGATAACACTTTCCAAGGCCAAAAATCTATGAAAAAAGCAATGACTACTGATAAAAAAAACAACTAGTGCCAGACATACCTGACTGATAACCACAACAAGATATTTGAGACTAAAAACTTAAGCATCAAAGCCAGAAAAAATACAAGTTGCTTTTATTTTTGCAAATCACTCTTGAGAAAGGATAAACAAAACGTAAATACTGTCCACTCTTCGACATAGTCAGATTTACAAAGAGATTGAAACAAAACACCATTTTGGCTGAATAAATTATCTTACAAAAACATAGATGATATCAACATAGTACAATAATTACAAAACACAGTGGAATCAATTTGTGCAAAATGCCTGTAAGATTACAGATGTCATAGAGCTCTCTCAGTCAGTTCACCGCTCTTTCAAACGTTTCTCAAATTCTGTCTCCCTTTTGTTTCTCACTCTCTTTGAAAACAAGTGGACAAGAGGTTTATTAAAGGGGGGACAGTGCAGAGAAGTGGGTTGAGGTGGAGGAACAAAGTCGTCTGACAGATCGCTCAGTTTAAACTGTGCTGTTCGCTTCCTGTTTCTCCTGCACCCCCCTCTAACCAAGTGTAGTGGATCAGTCCAGTCCACCTTTGTGCACAGGCCGCCTCCCGACAAGCGTCACTCTCTCCCAGGAAAAGGTGTCTCTTTACATAGTGGTTTCTTCCCATTCCAGCTCAACATCACCTACAGACCAGCACAAAGGAGTGGAGTGAGCCATGTGCTGTGAGTGTGTTGTACTTGTGTGTATTTAAGTGTGTAGAGGTGCACGTGTGTTTACTGTACATGTTGTTTACCTTCCATAGCGTCCAGGGAGTCCATCTTTTCCAGAGCAGAATAGCTGACAAACCAGATGGACTGGCTGTTGCCTTTGCTGTTTAGAAGTTCTAGCGTACTTTGGTGCAGGAAGATGTACTGGGCCTGACACACACACAAACGCACACATTAGCAGATACTGAGCAGATGTTCATAATAATTAAATTGGTGTATAATTAAGTCAGAGGGTCCTGGTAGCTGGTGCAGACCATTTAATCACAACAACTCTGATTTCATTCCAGCTGGAGACCTGTTAACCCTCTACTGTCTCCTGTCTGATAAAGGCAACAAAAATAAAAACATATGACCATGTTTTTTTTCTTTCTTTTCAATATATAAAAAGAAACACATTAATCTTGCATTGCTGATTAGATTTTGTCAATTAATTCAAGTTTAAAGGTTTTTTTTCCCTCTCTCTTTCAGGACTCAAGCCTTTCAAAGCAACATTTTAATTTTCTTTAACAGAAGACAGAAAAAAAACCTCAAACTCAGACTAAATAATGACATTTAAAATGATTTTGACTCCTAATGCTGCAGCTGCCACACCCCAGGGAGGTGTAACAGCAAGAGAGCTGGATACCATATTTCAAGTAGGGCTGCCAAGATATCATGTTTTCACTTTTGTTGCCAAAATAATTCACTATAACAATCTATAGAGTTAAATGTATATCTATATTTTGTATCAATTGTTTTGTTTCTATTTGTTTACACAAACAAAATGTAAATCACTCAGCAAGTTTAGGAAGATTCTAGTTAATTGTCATTTTATGATAAAGATGCACATGTAGCAAAACTGATGGAAAGTACGGTAGAAATCAGTAATTATTAAATACCTCTACAAGATCTGACACACATCTACAATAACTGCCTTTGCTCTCGCTTTGAGTTAAGTGTTTTAGGTAAAAGAGTTAAATGTGGGTTAGTTAAAAAGCTCTCTTCAACAACAATGTGCTCGAGTAGCTTGGCAATGACATTTGTGAGGTTATAAAATAATTGAATGGAATGATGGCCTCTTAAAGCGGAGGCTTTAATGCACATGTGACTGGACTGCCATAATAATAGTGAGCTGTCGGGAATGCTGCGGTCTCAAAGATTCAAGCAGCTTCGGAGCTGCAGACACTGCAGGCTCATATTTCACTGCTAAAATGTGGACACAGGAGAAATGCACAGAACATCAGGAAATAGTAAAAGCATAAAACTGAGGAGAGGCACAGGCACCAGTCAGAGGGTCCCTGCAGACACACACCATCCCTCTGTAAGTAATGACTGAAAAGAGTGATTTTAGGAAAGGTTCATGCTGACGGGAAACCCTGCTCAGCATATGTCTTTAATCCACTGCCAGATCCTTTCCCTTTGTCAAAATAAGAAATGTACCAAATGTTTCCTCATGGGGATGGGATCACAGCAGGACAAGAAGTTTAAAAAAAGTGGGGCAAACCAAAACGCTACTTATGAGTCTTTGATGATTTTTAAGTGTACTCAAGCCACTTAAAAGAATACAAAAAACACCTTTTTTTTCTTCTGTGTATCCTCTTTGTGAAATTAAACCTAAGAGAACAATTACATTTAATGTCAACTCACCAGATTCTGTACCATACACATCCTCTCGCTGCGAAGTTCAGCCACCAGGCCGTAAATATCCACAAAGTCGTGATCTCTGACGTGCTGAATGAGGTGGTCGAGAGCGATAAATACACCAGTTCTGCCCACACCAGCACTGAAGAACAAGGATAGATGGAGATTGTCAAGGAAGCTCCATTAGAATAAAGTATACGGTGCAATTTACTTTAAGGACCTTGCAGTAATGTAGGAAGTGTCAGTACACTGCTGTTTACCTGCAGTGGACCACTATAGTGGTGTTGTCGTGCCTGTGGGCTCGGACAGCTTGGACAAACTTGATGAGCGTGCTGCAGGACTCTGGGACTCCGTGCTCAGGCCACGATGTGTAGTTGAAGTGGCGAACCAGAATGTAGTGCCCATGCTGCACAGAGAAATACATACAAGAAAAAAGATGGATTAACATTAATATAGATTACATAACTCAAAAGGTTGGAATGGAAGAAATGACTCACTGAGGAGTAGTTTGACATTTTGAAATTACTTTGCAATTTTCACAGTGAAATAGATTAGATAATTCAACACCACTTTTATTTCTGACTGTTAAATATGAAACAGAGACTATTACATTAGTTTAGCATAAAGACTGGAAACAGCTTCTCATCTAACTCTTAATAAGTGTATTTCCTGTAGCGTTGAACTATTTCTTTAAGCTTTTGGCCTGTAACATTTACTTAAAAAGAAAATGGCAGCTACAGGCACATACATTTTTTTTGGTTCACATTATCCAGTTAGATGAACGTGGAAGAATTGACGTGGATATATTTGTGTATTACAAAGTTGGGAACAAATGCCCACATCCAGTATCTACATATGCATGAACAGCATGGTGTATGTGAGTGTGTGAGTGTGTAAGGTGTGTCGGCGTAATCACCTTTTCTACTTTGAGGGTTCTGACAGTCCAGTCAGGAAGGACTTCCTCTGACACTTTTGAGATGAGAATGTCACTAAACACCGACATCGGCTTATTGTCCTCTGGCCAGTACTTGTGACATCGAATCTGAAATCACACACACACACACACACACACACACACACACACACACACACACACACACACACACACACACACACACACACACACACACACACACACACACACACACACACACACACACACACACACACACACACCACACACACACACACACACACACACACACACACACCACACACACACACACACACACACACACACACACACACACACACATCAGATCTCCTGTTGACAGAGTTTTAAAGATGCCCCTCCTGTCCTCTGAATTCTATTTCATAACAGGGTCAAATTACGCACTCTCCCTTTCTCGTAACACTGTGTGAGCATGGCGATGGTGCGGGTTCCTGTTTCCCAGATCATCCTCCAAAAGTCGGCCACGGTGCCCGGCAGAGGCCCCTGGGTGGCTATGAACTCATTTGGACAAAGGTAGCCCTACAGAGCAGAAACACAGAAACTGAACATTGTATTTGCAAGCTCAAACAACACCCCAGCAACACACTCACGCAGAAATTAATAAACTTGAGGTTGTTATCTATCTATCTGACTGAATCAGAAAGGGACAGATATTTATTGATGTTTCGGATTGCTGGTACTCACTGACACAAAGCTGGCGTTGATGAAGTCAGAGCCCGCAGTGCCCGGTTCTGACAGCAGTTTCACTCGGTTGTTATTGTCTAGACAAAGTTTAATAAGAAGAGCATGATAGAAACATGTGAAATAAAGCTGTGCAAGCGCTGGTGAAATTGATATGCAGGTAATGTTGGAGCTAACACATATAATGTTGGTATACTGTGAGTATCTAAACCTTGAAACCTTATTTTCAGCTTGAGCACTCACAAGGTTTAATGTTGGGGAAGCGGTTTTTGGATTTGTTCCAGGGCAGGTCAGCGTCGGTGGTGGCCAGGTCCTGCAGCAGCTTTGGTAGCTCCTGGGTAGACAACGCATTATACTTCAATATTAATAAACACACATACAAAAGGTTAAAGGTCAGAGCCTGTATTTTTTAAAATACAAACAGTTGGGACTTAAAGGTGGGGTAGATAAGTTTGAGAAGCCGTCTCGAGATACACTTTTTGTTATATTCCATGGAATGCTCTTAACATCCAGATAGCAATGAATATCTTAAGTGCTTTGACAAAAAATCCATAACAAAATTTCATCTGTGGAAGCCGTAGTACTGTAAAAAGCATGACCAATCATTTTAGCCGGCCCAGCTAAAATAACTGGATGGCCTACCTGCCTGTCAGCTTTCCATCTGTGCACAAACTTATCTCGTGCCCTCATTGGTCATGTGCACGTTCGTGTGTGTTGGAGGAGGGGCTCTGTAAGGAAGTGGCAGATTTGTTCCGGTTGTGTATTTTCAAATTCTAGCGCACTCGAGCCGGTTTCTCCAAAATTACCTACCCCACCTTTAAGTGAAAGATACATTTGTTAAAACGTGTATTGTGACTTTAAAAACACTGTTTAAATGATCAGAATGCTAGAAGTCTCTAAATTGATTAAGAATCTATTCAGGTATGAATGCATATATACGTCATGAATAATAAGCAACATGTAAAATGCAGAAAATTGTCATTTTAGTTAATACATTAATCACCAAATGCTTATTTGATCGGATGTTCAGCTGCTCTTGTGCATTAGTGAGGTGCAAAACAACAAGGAAAAAGCTGGCATTGATTTTGTTTGCATCACTTTCCTTTTTACTGCCTGCACTAAATTATTCCTATTATCGGTTTTCTGTGATGTACCCTGTTTTCTAACTGCAGACTTTCCTTCATGCTCCATTTATTTAGTCATTTCCAGGTTGTTTTATTTTATTCCATCCCAATGCATACATGTCTACACAGTTTAGAAACACAGGTCCGGGTAGTAGGCAAACACTTACAGCAAACTCCACCTGGAACTTGGAGTTGTCGTTGGCACACAGATCCTCTACATGCTGCAGGAAAGACTTCTTGTTGACAGGCCTGGCAGAGAGGGAAGGAGTTATGTGAGGAACAGAAAGAGATGTACAAACACTCTACAACAATATGCTATTTATGTTATTCTAGGATAAATCTTATTTATACTGAGGCATACTGAACATGCTGATCTGTGCTGCAACTATTACGTGTATATTCAGATTATTTATGCAGGAGGACTTACTTGAGTGATTTCCTGTAGCTGAGCAGCCTGGATGAAAATAGACAGCAAACATCAACCAAAAATAAACAAATTAACTAAATAATCACATCCCACACTGTGTTATTTCTGGGCCTGAAAGCTGAAGGGATCTTCACTGCAGAGAGTACATGGCATTGTAAGATAAAGCAGAGGAGGTTTAACCGTTTCTAATCAAATCTTTCTTTGCATTGCTGAAGACTTGTAGCTACGCAGATCCTTAGCGATTGATAACGCTACCACTTGTGCCCTCTATGGCTGATAAGCCTCCCGAGCAATTTTAAGATAGTGAGTGGGTAAACAAATTAAAATGGTCTCAAGCAGAGGGGTGTCGGCACCACTCTGCAATCCCTGCCAGTGATGGAGGAAAAGGAGACCCTGATTCCATCAACTGTCGACCTCCACCAAAGGAGCAACACAAATGGATGATTTAGGGTGATTTGATTCGGGATTAATGGGAAATGTGACAATGACGAACACATAGTGATGGCCGGGTACAAGGCAGTGTGACATGCAATAAAAGCACACACAACAAAACGTGGCACACACAGGTCCAAAGCCCAACTTACTGGATCACATAAATCTCTTTCCGCCTAAAGAAGAAGGAAGAATACCTGGTGGGAGAGAAGTGCTTGGTGAGAGAAAGACAAAGCCAAGGCGAGTCAATGCAAGTGTCATGTGCGGGCAAGGAGGGTTATTTTTGCAACTTGTGTGACAGGTAACAAGAAAAAGTGGGATATTATAACACAAAGCTTAGACAAGTGGTGTGTTATGCTGATCTCAGCTCCAACAAAGCAGAGACACAAATGACGTAAAGGGGACATACTGTATCATGCTCTACTGTAACATGTTTCAATGCTTTAATGTTCAAAAAAATGTTTGTGTCTGTTGTGATTGGTCAACCGCTTAGAGATGTACCGCCCCTTAGCCTATAGTGATGTCACTATGTTATGGAAGTAAACAAAGGTGTCCAATGGAGGCGTTTCAGGAAAGGGGGGAGTGTGTTGGAGAGAAACTCTCTCTGGAGGATTGTTGCCTTTTCAGTCTATTTACATGCACAGAAACCTGCAACACAATACAGGAAAGGGAAAACCCCAAAAAGCATTATAGGGCCTCTTTAAAAGACAGCTGGTGCAGCTTAGATGTGAACACAACATGCAGCTGTAAAAAACCTCCAATGTTGCATCTAAAATGAGTGGACAGTAAAGTATCCTCAGGGACTGCCTCCTTTTTTTTGCAGTCACTGCATATAAAAAATGTCATAGAGGATATTTATTAAGGCTGGCGAATATTTACTCAAGTAGGACCGTTATGTTTCTTTGCACATAAGAGATAAGAGACAGTTATCTGCCGGTGGAAGCTATTATATTTATCCATCTTCTCTCATGTGGGTTTTATGTTTTTATTATTTATTTTGTTGTTCATTCAATTCCTCTTGAAGACAAGCCACATTTAACACATACAGTACAAGAAGTACATGGTTTCTTTGGTATTCTGTCATTATATGGGTATTCTTTAGATGTTGGGGAAAGAAAGGTTACAGAAAGACTTTATTTTTTGTTGAAGGCTTTCTATTGGGTAGTATTTTGTCTAATATTAGCCATCGGTGACCTTGATGCACCAAAAGTAACTGAATCTCACTTTGCTTCTCACCAGCTTGCAGCACTTATTGTCTGTGCACTTGCTTGTGCCAAAGAAGACGCTCAAACTGAATTTTTATGAGAGGATGGTTGGAGAGCTGCAGAAAGGATGACTTGTCTGTTATGCTGGGAATTGAAGGTAAACTATAAAGCCCCGATAATGCCGTGTTGTTTCATAGTGATGCTGATTCTATTTTCTGCACTCGTGTGCTGACAGGAGCGCACATCAAGTTGGCTGCAGTGAAGGTGTTCTTGTCTTGTTGACTTAGATTTAGAATCTCGTCTGGGGCAGCTAAATCAAGCCTAAACTCATGAATTGTGCAGGCAGTTTCAGCTGCCAAAAATCTGTATGATATATTCAGTAAAGTGAAGCCCTTAGATTAAAAGTAATCACAGACTAACCGGTTGAGTTTTTCTTGTTTGAGTTCCAGATCTGCCACAGCAATCAGCTGATCCAGTTTACACTTGGTCTCTATGATCTCTGCCTCTCTGGGTGAATAATTCCCGCCCTCCTTCTTGCGCTGATGGATCCTGACATGTCAATCAAACACATCAGTTAATAACAAGGAAAATACAGAAATAATATTTATAATAATGTGAATAACAAATTGGGCATTGTAAAATGTCCCATATCCATAAAGGATTTGCACATGTTTTATTTTGTGTAAAAATACTACATCAATATCAATGCAGTGTTTAAGTTAATGTATTCATGTTTGCAAATAATTGAAAGCCTGCTGCTATCTTACTTGACAGAGCCACAGATGATAATGATGAGCAACACAGCCAAGGTGACGGAGAGCAAAACACCCAGAATAATCTGCTCTTCTCTGGTCAACAGCCCGTCCACTTCAGAGAGGAGACAACGTTACACAAAAACAACAAACAGGCTGTACAGCTTTTATATTCTCATTTATTGATTGGGAGAAAAACAGAGATGAATACAATTACCTGCAGTCTTGACGTGCTCCGAGTACACTGAGTCTGTGTATTGGCCTTTAATATTAGTGGCTCTGAACTTAAACCTGGTGAATATGAATAGTCCAGTGTCAGCTTTTATTAACGTAAAGCCTGTTCATACAACTGTTTTTATTTTGCTGTGTGTTTGTGTGTTGCACTCACACATAGACTGTTTTTGGCTTCAGAGGTCCGTTGCAGAAATGTTCGGTGTTGTTCTCCTTTAGACAGTCATTGTTCCGTCCGATCACGTAGGTTCCTGCTGTGGTGTGATTGTTCCTCACTGTGGGCGGGCCGCGTGCAGACACACTGTGACCCCCTCTGACGTGTGTGTCCAAGCGCTGCGCCCTGTCCCCAAGAGGACACGGTGGGTTGGGGAACCCCATGTCAGTCAGGTAAGGGTCAGGTCGATGGAAGAATGCATTCTTCCAGTTGGTCAGGTTCTGGATGTCATTCACTGTGACAGGATGAGTAAGTCAGTTAGAGAGGAAAGGAATCGCAGGGGGACTGAGTCAAATTTCTGCTGACGTTAAGCTCTTTGGCTCATGCATACATTTTGTCTTTTTTGAGCTTAGGGCAGAGTGACATACTGTAAAACAAGATTCTAGTCGAGGCTTAAAGCCCTAACAAGACCGATACCCAAGTGTGCTCAACTAAAAGTGAAGGCTGTCAATGTTTCTGAAGAGTCATACCCCCTGATTCGGCCACGATGACCTGAATTTTTGTGATTGGTCCATTGTCGTCACTATAGAAACAGGCAGGCATGTGGATGGTGATACTCCTGTGGGTTACCATGGCAACCCCTCCATGGCCCAGCTTTGCCTGGGGTCTTTGCATTGGCTTGGCCGGAGCTGGAATACACGCACGTGTGAACAAGCAGGAGCACACACACACAGGAACACACACACACAGGAACACACACACACAGACACAGAGAGACAGAGACAGAGGTTGTTGAGTCATTACAGTGTGTGTGAAGATGGCATTAATGCCTGTTGCATTTTACAAACAGGTTGATGCTCTATCCGCTACATCATGAACATACATCTGACGATATTGTGGAGTAAAGCTGTGTCAGACAAGGCCTGCCTACTGTTTTACTGAACATGACACTGTGCAGCGGTAATTCTGTGTCTCACATCTACGCTGCACTGCTGCAACAAGAAAGGGAGACACACATTAAAGCACTGCAGAGCGCACATAACAAAGCGCGCGCGACATGTACCTGTGATCCCTGTAGTTATACGGACTTGAGAGCTGGGTGGACTCAGACCTGCCCCGTTCTTAGCTGAAATCTACAAACAGACAAATAGAAGAAAGGAGGGAAGACAGCAGAAAGAGGGACAAGCATATAGAGGAGTTATAGATAAAGAAAATGTTGATTTGAACAGAGTCAAACAAGGCTGTGTGTGTGTGTGTAATATATGTGTTTTTCACCTGTATGCTGTAGCTGTGTCCTCCCTTCAGACCCTCAATGACAGCAGTCATCGTGTTTTGGTCTCTGTGGGTGATATTAAGGCTGATGTTCTTGACTAGTTGGTCCTTTTCGTAGATGTACACAAAGTAGGATGTAATGTTTCCATTGGGCTCCTCTGGAGGGGTAAAAGTCACCTTCACTTGGTTCACTAACTCTGGGACAACTGATACTACAACATTCTTGGGAGGGTCCTTGGGCTCTGGGGCAGAGTAGAAATTATACAGGAGAACATTAATTACAGATATATTCACTGTGAAGCAGCAGCCAGTGCTCCTCAGATGAGTATTTCTACATACCCTCCTCCAGCGTTTGAAATTCAATTGGTCCGATAGCTTTCCCATCGCTGGCAGCATGCTCCGATGAACCGGTAAAGGCAGTGATCGTCACAAAGTAACGAGTGAAGGCAGTCAGCTCAGTCACAACAACGGTCGTCAGCTCTCCTGGAGCCCGGACTGTAGAGAAGTTCAGACCGGGACCGTCCACCTGGTTTAACAGGATAGTTCATGGGAACATTTTAATTTGAAATTCATATTGTTTCACCACACCAAACTCATAACACCATTTAGGTGACATGTTCATATTTTTGCATGTGTCTGTAGAAACAAAATTCAATGAGATGACCTGCACAAGATAGGAAGTGGGTCCAGCGATAACAGATGGAGGGTTCCATGTGATGTGAAGGCCGCTGGAGGTGGGGGTCACTTTCAGGTCCCGGGGAGGGTCATCAGGGTCTGAGGGAGGAGATCAATTATGCTTATGATGCTATTTACATTTTTAAAAGCCTTAAAGATAATGAATGATTTGTTAGCATGCTAATGTTGATTGCTGAATGCTGTTTAAGTCTTTTGAAAGACACGCCAAAGTCCAAATAACTATTACAGGAATAATCTAGATTTAAATCCAATTTTTGTTTATTTTTGTTTACCTTGGAAATCATCACAGGCAATTCTAAAACATCCTATCATCACTGTGATGTTCTTACTTCCAGCCAAGGTGCGTTCATATTTCCAGAGTGTGTATTCTCCAACCCCAGCGTTGGTCACAGCAGCTACCTTGAAGCGGTAGTATCGGTATTTAGCCAGGGATTGGAGTGTGACGCTGAGGCTCCCGTCAATGTGGTCCGAAGCATTCACCGACACTGTGACATTAGAGTGAACGCAGTCTGAGGTCGGCTCGTCCTCTGGGGCCGGCTGTGCAGTAGTTAGTGTGTTTGGTTCGCAAACAGTGGAAATCAGCTGTGCAATGACATGGTACTCCTTCAGCAGGCCGGGAATGGAGAGTGGTGCAGCCCATTGAAGTGTCACATTGTTAGGGGTGACCTGAGAGATGGTGAGGAAGCGAGGGGCAGCGGGGGCTGTAAAGGGAACAAAGTGGATAGAGACAAGTATTTATCCTGTATTATTGTTTGTTCGGAAATTAAAGATACAAATGTTTCACAATACACAGTGAGTGATTACCTGATTCAGAGAGAGTGGAAGCAGTACAGTTCAGTCCGTCTCCAGGTCCTGCAGAGTTAACTGCAGACACGGTGAGAGCGTACTCCTGGTCTGGAGACAGCCCTGTCACTGTGTACACTTGTGTGTAAACCTGGTGTGTGTCAACCTCCACTAGAATTTCATAAAACATTATCTGCCCATTAGGGTTGCTTGGAAGTTCCCAAAACAGCTGAATTGAATCCCAGCTAACTCCAGAGCAAGACAGGTTCCCCACAGCGTCAGACACTGCAGACAGAGAGATGACATTGGAACATTGTTATAGTACTATTAGCTTAAGTAAGCATTCATCACTGTCCACTGTAAGAGGAAGAAAAAAACAAATACAATTTCAGTTGGTTTTTTGTCGCACATGATTAAAAACGGCTGCTACACCCATAGTTTTGCCAAAGATTATTTTATATTACTGGAAATTACAAAAATTCAACCTGCAGACAAAACTAAAAATAGCCTAAAAAAACTGATTAACATTTTTTACAAACAATAATTACCAACTTTTATTTATACATTTATTTGTTGTTGTCGAGCCAGAAACTCTGTGGTAATGACCCGCTGTTCTTGAGGAGAGTCACATTTTTCTATGTGCTTGTGAAAAAAATGATGTTTTATGTCTGTATATGACAATTGTTGTTAATAATAATACATTTTATTTCAAAGCGCTTTTCCAGGTGCTCAAAGACGCTTTACAGCGGTTTGATAAAACATGATAAAATAGAATAAAGAATAGAAATAAAAAATAAATAAATATTAAAATAGCAACACAGCATCATTCACAAATTAAAAGCAAGTCTGAAGAGGTGTGTTTTGGTCAGTGTTTTGAAAGTGGGGGGGTCGGTGCAGTCTCTGTGTTGTGGAAGGGAGTTCCAGAGGGTGGGGGCAGCGATGGAGTAGGCTCTGTCCCCCCAGGTTCGGTGCTTGGTTCGTGTGGGGATAGAGAGGAGGTTCGCTTCTGATGAACGAAGGCTGCGGGAGGGGGTGTAGTGGTGGATCAGGTCGGTGAGGTAGGGGGGGGGGGGGGGCTGGTTATTGAGAACTTTGTGTGTTAGCAGAAGGATTTTGAAGTGTATTCGTTGACGGATAGGGAGCCAGTGCAGGTTTTGAAGGACGGGGGTGATGTGGTCTCTGGAGCGGGTGTGGGTGAGGAGGCGGGCAGCGCAGTTCTGGATGTATTGTAGTATATTTAGAATTTTGGATGATGAACCATACAGGATGCTGTTGCAGTAGTCCAGTCTTGAGGTGATAAATGCGTGAATTTGTTTTTAATAGGACAAGAAGTTATAACTGGTTATAAAATGTTGATTACCTCAGAAATGAATGGCAAAACTTACTGTATTTACATGAGGAGGACATGTTTAAATGGTCTAATGCTTGCATTTATGCTTTTATTTAATTGCCCCTTAAGGGAAAAATAAGGTATTTCAAACTGAATTAAATACACTGTACAAATCAATTTTATTTTCAACCTTCATAAATTGTGTAACATCCCCTGTGTACGGTGTGTACTTTACCTGACTCGTTAGTGGTGAAAGCCACAGGGCTGCTGAACTGATTCCCATGGCCCACTCTGGTGTAACTGTAAACACTGATCTCGTAGGAGCTATGAGGCCTGAAGCCTGAAAGATCCTCGATGGTCGACGGCCCAGAGGAATTCTGAACACACACACACACACACACACACACACACACACACACACACACACACCACACACACACACACACACACACACACACACACACACACACACACACACACACACACACACACACACACACACACACACACACACACACACACATAAATCATCCAATCCTGCTTCCTGGAGTGGGTGTCTTATTGAATTAACACACATACAGTACGTGCCCGTGTGTATAATGTTACTGCTGAGTGGTATCTAGAGTGTGAAATTAGAGCTACCGTAAGTGTGACACTTTTCTTCTCTGGAGTGTGTGTTAGTGTGAGTGTGATGTTGTTATTGAGGGGTAGCTTTCGGTGTGTGAAATTGACGGTACCCTGTGTGTGACGGTGTGTGTGATGAGGTCTCGGATCCTGAAGCCGTACTGTATCACCACTCCATTGGGCTCCAGAGGAGGCTCCCAGCTCAGCCACACAGAGACCGCTGTGTGGTTATATATGGTCAGGTTACGGGGGGGTGACATGGGGCCTGAAACAAAAGTATGGCAAACAGATTAAACGACTGAAACAGAATGTAGTCAGGATACCTTCGTAGTTTCATTAATTAATACCATCTAATAAGGATCTTAGAGAAATATTGGTAGCACTGTCTATGACGTCTTTGTTTATGTTTTGTTATATAAGTAATTACAATGGATTTGTTCAAGATTCAAGGCTTTTATTGTCATTTGTACATAGCTACAGTGTAGTTACGTCAATGAACATCTTAGGTCACAGGCTCCTCCAACAGTGCAGCACAATAAAACAGATACAATAGTGCAAGTAAATACAAATACAATTGAATAGAAGAATAGTCTATATAGTAATTTGGAATATGATATATTAGATAAATCGTTTTTTTAAGTTGCAAACAGATGACTGTTATGGATCTTATTACACCGTAAAGTTATGGTTTTAAGCACTCATAAGTATTCATAATGTTAACAACCATTATAACACAATATAAAGCATTTTATAATGATTTATAAGGTACAAGTATCTAGTACGTTTTTTTCTGCATGGATTATTTTGTATTATAATTCCCATAGTTTTACCATATTGCTCCTGTGGGTATTGTCCAGAGTAATCAATGTATTACATGTTTATTATGTAAGCGCTAAAATAAATACCATGCATTATTATGATTGGTTGCATTATAACCATGCATTACAACTACAGGAATTATAACACACTAAGACCATTTAAAAATAATATCAGCGAGTGACCAACAATTACAAGCATTTATGTTAGCTAACCTTTAAAGTAATTATAAAAAGTGTGTTTATAAAGCATCATAGACATGTTTCCCCACTAACCTCCTTCATCGGTGTGCAGCTGCAGCAGCAGGTAGGGTCCTGAGCCTTTACGCGTAGCAGCTGTAATAGTGATGTTGTAAGCTGTGTATGGAAGCAGGTTGCTGAGGATGAACGAGGTGTTGGGGGTTTGAGTTGTGTTGGAGCCCCCTGGGCCAAAAAGAGTGAGGGTATATTCTGTTATCTCCCCGTTGGCCTCCAGAGGGCGCTGCCAGACCATCGCGATAGAGGATGACGACTGATTCTTGGTGGACACCAGCACCGGAGCAGAACTAGGAACTAAGGAGGAACGATTTCACATTAAAAACATAAACCACACTCCATTAATAGATGTTTGTGTAGATAAACTCACTATCATCATCTGTTCGCAGATACATCGTGCTGGTATGATTGTAGGCCGCGCCAGCACGAGTTGCCGGGGTAACAGTCAACACATAGGGGAAATATTTCCTCAATCTGGTGAACAGAAAGACTGTGTCAGTCGTGCTATGCTTGATGGTCTTGTTGACAGCTGGAGCCCCTTGGTTGGGTAGGTCTGGGAAGATGCCAGCCGCCTGTAAGGTGAGCAGGTAGGTGGGACGGCCGTTGGGCTCCAGGGGAGGGTCCCAGCTGACGATGATGGCAGTGGAGCTGAAGATCTGAGCGGTCAGATTTTTCACTGAGTCACTTGGCACTGGAGAAGGAAACAAGAAGAATGGTGTTACTATTTTTAACTAACATTGACGACACTGATTCAAAACATTTTAATGTGAGTTTACTGTACTATGAGGCAGTAAATGAGGGCATCAATCAAACATACACACTGACACTTGAGGGAAAATGAAGAGCGCACCAGTCATCATCATTATCATCATTATAATCATCATCTATCACAAGCATCGTCATAATTACCGGCAGCATTGTTGGAATTCACAAAATCAAAAACAGCATGTCAAGGAGAACAATTCAGTATTCAGTATTTTAACAAAACAAAAACACAGCAGTAAGACAGCACAGTAAACAGGCTTAGACACATTGTCATAACATATTAATATAAACAGCACATTCAGAGACATAAAGTGGCATTTAGGAGGGAAACGAGCACACGGAAAACCTTGGGAAAGAAAGAGGTTGAGGAGAAAATACTCATCCTGTTCATCGTCTCTGCCCCTCCAAAAATTACGCATGGTACAAAGATAAGAAAAAAAGTGGGGATGAAGGGGAAAGGGGAGGGGATCCATGAGATGAATGAGTGTTGGATGTGAGGGGCCAGGTGTGAGTGGGGGTCTGAGCCCAGCAGGGGGGGGGGGCTTGGCTGTGCCCTGGAGATCCGGTGCTTTGCTGAGAGTGGAACAACTAGAGCACAGGTAGAGATACAGAGTCAGTATGAGCAGTAATAGTTCAGAACATAGAAAACTATTACTATGGCTAAACAAGAAAACATGAATCATGGCATATAAATATGAACTGTTTGTGACAAAGTCTGTGGCGGTTGTCTGCACCATTTTTCCCAAAATAACATAAAAACAAAGAGATCAGAGAGATATTTATTTACTTTATACACTGAGGATTTGTAACTACAACATTACATTCAAATTCTGATTTATGTGACAACAAGGAAATTGTAGCAATGGCACAGCACGAACGTAAGGCTTTTTTATTTTACTTAAATCCTACAGTTCCGTTCTTCTCTGTGTCTTTTAATCCCTTACAACTTTCGTCATGCTTCGCAAAAGGAAACGCAAACTGGCTGTCTCCAAGGCGTCACAGGCGGACAAAAATAGAGCCAGTTTGCAAGACCGACTGTTATTCCCTTTTACTAACAGGCTGAAAGTCCCATCTTCAATCGCAGAGTTTTTATGTCATTTTCATTTTTATAAGTTGAAGAGGTTTTGGAAAAAGTGTGCAGACTAACCTTCCAGTGAGACGTTGTACAATAATATATCTAGCGTTATGTGTAGTATTTCATGTGTAATTCTATTTCTTTATTATTTACATTGGTGCATGTGGGTGTGTGTCAGCAGGTGTGTCTGACTGACCGTCCTCAGGTAATAACAGGACAAGTGGCTCGCTCTGGACCCCCCCGTCCCCCTGCACTGTGCTAGAAGTCATCCACAGCGTGTAGTTTGTGCCTCCAATCAGCCGGGTCAGAGTGAAGTAGAGGGCTGAATCAGGAGAGGCCGGCTCAGGTAGGTCTGACACTGGAACCCTCTATGGAGAAAAACAAATGTTAGTTTGGTTTTCATACACTACAATCGAAATTTAAAGAGATCAGAACAGATGCTTTTCAAATGAAAGAAAAACCCAACATTAAATGTCTTTCTTTTTTTTTACCACAAGCAGTCAGGAAGAGTCTGCATTAATTTAGAACATGGATAAAAATAAAGAAGCGCCTGAAACATTTTAAAAATAAATGCAGAAACAAATATTTGGCCATGAAGAATTGTTTGTTCACAGATTTAAAAAAATCAATTATTTATATAGTGGTATGAAGACAGCATCATACATCTTCAGTCCTTTCCGAACCCAGCCAGAGGGATTATTTAATGCTTGTTATTATTTTCTTATATTTTGGCCTTGAGGACAGCATAACAAGCAGTTAGGCCAACCCTGCTGTATTATGAAGTTATAACGTTGATATGAAGCATTTCTTAGCAATTTACTAGTTAGTATTAGTTCATAATTTAGACATCCAGCAGAAACAAGGCAATATTGCTAAATTGTCTAAATTCAGAGTTTCGATTGTGTCCAAAATGTTCTATCTTTTAGCTCTGCTTTGTTCTCCACCGACTCCAGAGAGAATGATTTGTTTCTTTAGCAGCTAACAGGATCACTGTGTTCACCAGCCTGTCACTAGCTCTGCTGTTTGATGCTGTGCGGGGAGCATGCAGAGTGATTAGCTGGCAACAACTACCTGCTGCTGGAAGAGGGTTACTGAGATCAGTGCGAGGGAACCAAAGTTTGTGTCTCACCTGCTCAGCCACAGTGTCGTTATAAGAGTAGTATATAGAGTAGTGTACAATGAGTCCATTAGGTTCAGTAGGCGGGTGCCACAGCAAGGTGACGGAGGAGGTGGTCACATTTGCAAAAGTCACATTCTGCGGGGAGTCAAATGGTTCTGAGAAACACACAGATAAATATTCAGAAGGAGGAAGAAACTACACACATGGTGATTAATTATTTTGATGTAATTTGTCTTAATGGTCTTAAACATCCTCCAGCACCTGCATCAGTGGTGGTGAAGCTGATGTAGATCAGCACTCCTCCATCTCCCAGTCGGGTCCAGCTGGAGACAGAGGCGTTGTAGTGGCTCTCTGAGTCTACATTAATAACCACTGACGTTCCCGTCACATTCTGCCACAGCTCAGTCGTTTCATTCCTATCAAAGAGAGCCACTATTTATGTTGCAATGTGTTTCTGAATCTCTACAGTCAAACAGGGAGAAGGAAATTAGGAAACTCACCAAACTCTGACTTTGTAGTAGAGTATGTCTGAATTGGCTTCGTGCGGTGGTTGCCATGACAACTCTACTTCATAATCTGACAACTTCCTGGCGAGGAGAAACTGAGGAGCTGTGTTTGGGGCTGAGATGCAGGAGAAAGACTTTCCAGTGAAAAAACACAATCAGGAGGATGGGCCTAATCAATACAGACACTGAGGAGTGATGAAAAATATATTTGCACTGGGGAACTAGGAACCTCAGGTGGCCCCTCAGGAAAGTGCCTGAGAGAAACTGAATGTTTCCCTGAAATAAAAGACTGGTTAGTTGAAAGGACTCTGTTGTATGTGCTTCTCAGAGCTGATTGGAGACAAGAGCGTCACGTGGCATCAAACACCTGTGATGTAACACCATTAGCATGATCTGAAATAGAGATGTAACTGAGGAGGATAAGACGAGAGGAAAGTCAGATTTAATCAGATGCCCTCCGAACTCTGTCATGATGTAATCGTGCAGCGTACTGGATCTGAAAACAAACCCTCCCTCTTTCTCCCCCCCCCCCCCCCCAACCCTTCTCACCATCCTCCAGTGTAGTGATGTTCAGCGGATCACTGCTGTAGTTCCCAGGCCCAACGCGTGTGTGTGCTTGCACCATGACGCGGTAGTTGGCGTACTTCCTCAGATGTGTGATGTGGATGTAGTTGGTAGGGGAGGTGAGGTTCAGGTAGTGGCTGGAGTTCCACAGCTGCAGGCTGTAGTGGGTAATGATCCCGTTTGGCAGCAGAGGGGGCTGCCAGGTCACGTTCACCTCGCTGGGACTGACCGACTCATAAGTAACGTCATACGGAGGACTGCCCGGGACTGAAGAGAGAACACAAGAAGATGCACTGTTATTAAAATCTGAAAATGTGGTATTGTTACTCAATATTTTTAATAAGTGCATATTAGCTACAGTAGCTGCAACCAACAACAGTTTGAATCATTGATAAATCCAAAGATTATTCTGTAAATGAGTGAATAATTGTTTGGTCTATGGGATAGTTAATAGTTAAGTTAATAGTTAAAAATATCCATCCCAGTTTCCCCAAATCCTAGATGTTTTCTTTAAAAAAATACAGTTTTTCAGTCAAAAAAAGATATTTAGTTTAGTAAGATGTACTACCCAGGAAAGCAGTACATTTCTATATTTTCAGAGTTTGAAAACAGAATGAATAGATTTTAGCTTAGGATTATTTTCCTGTAGATCAACTAATTAATCATTCTACTAATTGTTGCAGCTCTAGCATTCACGTTGTTGAATGCATCCATCAACACACCGTCTTCTCCGGACAGCAGGTACAAAGATTCTGACGTTTGGTTGCCGTGGCCGTAACGGGTGTACGCCCTCACAGTCACGTTGTAGTAGGAGAAAGGCTTCAGGTTCATCAGAGTTGCTGTGTTTGAGGATGTGTTCAGTAACTCAGAGTAGGACTCGTTCTCATACTGGACTTCGTAATAATGGATCATCCCATTGGCTTGCTCTGGGGCGGACCAGGCCAATGTGGCGGCGAGGGGGCTGGTGGCGACCACAGTGAGGTTCACAGGGGGGGAATCAGGCTCTGGGGATGGACCGACAAGAAAATCACAGATTGAAAAAAAATGAATTGAACAAAATCAAATCAAACAATCCAATAATTAGGCTGAAATATCCTCATAATAAATATTGGGAGCAAAATAATACTTTAATTGTTGATAGTTTGCATGCCACAGACTAGGCACCCACAACAATAAAAAAAGAAGGTAAAACAGCTTCAGAAACATATAAAACACAATATCTGCATTATTTTAACAACTCTAACAAATGTTTTGACCGTTGTGTATTGCCGTTGCCTTTGTTTTCAGCACATACCGTCCTCTAAGGTGAAAATAAAGATGTCATCTTCCTCCGACAGGGAGCTCTCTCCCACAGCTGTAGAAGCAGCTACGCGTAGCTTATAACCAGTATACTTGTCCAGATCTATACATTAGAAAATAGATATTTATCAACAACCTGTATTATAATGAGTATAACGACTGTACAGAAAAGGTGATTTCTCTACCTGTTATCAATATGCTGGTAGCGTTGGTAGACCACTTCAGGGCTTGATCACTGTGCAGTTTGAGGCCGTAGACGGTGTAATGTGTGATCCGCCCGTTGGGGTTAAGTGGTGGCGCCCAGCTCACTAGTATGGAGGTGGAGCTGATGTTTTGATAGGACACTTCCAGCACTGAGCTAGGGACTAAACAAAACATGCAGAACTAGACATTATAAAATAAATATGTTGTTTCGGGGGTTTTGCAGGCCTGATCATTTGTTATGAAAATTAATTGTCAATACTAATTACTTGAAATACTTTATTTATATACATTTTCCTATTCTTTCTAAACTTAGAACTTAGAAGATTAACATACAGTATTTGACGAGCTGTATTGTTTCAGGGTTGTATACAAATGGTTGATTTCACCAATTTAGCATGTGTAAATTAAATGTATTGTAATGAAATGGTGCACCCACCCTGCTCCCTGGTCTTCTCAGTGATATCTGTTGCAGGACCCTCTCCCACTGGTGTGGAAGCAGTGACCTTGAATGTGTACTCGGTGAAGGGATTCAGATCTGACACCAGGTAAGACAACTCCTCAGACAAAACGTCCATCACCTCCTCTCTCATTGTTACACCTGCAACACGCATGCAAGACACAGATGGATACACAAGAGCGCACACACACAATTTATAAGCACAGATAAAAATACTTTTCCAATGGGCTGCAGGAAGTTAAGGGAAGCAGTGTGTTTTGGGAGTTCTCTCGTACCTGTAGCACCAGAAGTTGCTGTGTTGCGTGTTAAAAAGGGTCCTGTAATTGATGCATCTTGAGTAAACAAGCGTAGCTGGCTTGGGGTCAGGGCCAAGCGTGATGAATCTGAGGTCAGATCTCCAGCCTGGGATTGCTTTGTCAGCCAAGGTGGAGGCGTAGCCGATGGCACAGAGGTAGGAGAAAATGAAGAAGTCCCAGAGACTGCAGAGTCAGAGGATTGAGTGTTTGTGCTGTCAGAGTGTGAAGCAGAAATGTAACTTGTGTTGGGCTCCTCGGTGACCGCGGAGGCAGCGGTTTCTTGAGCATAGGTGTTAGTGATTTGGTCGGAGTGTGTTATGCCAGAAGCAGTTGAACCTTTGGGAAGGGTGCGATCAGGGACAGTGGCAGTGAATGTCGACGGAGATGTGATCAGACTGAGCTCAGCTGTTCTCTTACGTCGCCCGGAATTGTTACTGACATCAGGGGGAACAATCTCATCTTCAGGCAAATCAGTTGTATTCTGAAAGAAGAAAAAACTACAGTTAGTGTCTGTAGTTTTGGGGTTGGGAGCAGTTTTTCTAAAGGGCAGTCGAAACCTTGTACAGGTGTTTATGATACTCTGTCCTTTCCCTGAAGGCCATCAAGAGAGGAGTTTTTACATTGCAAATCCTCTTTTCTTCAATATGTACAGTAAGTAAATGCAGGGTTAACAGTAACATTTGCTCCAACCTTTCTAGATGAACAGGCTCAGGTTTTAAAACTGAATTGTTATCATTACTAAACTGTATTGGGAAACATTTTTGGTGGTTTTAGGAATATGTTTACTATCTGGCCTACCATTTCAGCAGTGAGGGTGATGTCCTGCAGCAGGGTGACGCCAACCAGAACCTGCAGTTTGTACTGTATGATCGGACCATTGGGCTGGGCAGGGATCCTCCAACTCACACGGATTGAAACTGAATCCTCAGCTTCAGCTATCAAGTCCTGTACTGCACTGGGTGCTACTCACACAAATAAAGAGCCAAAGAGAATTAGACACAGACATAGAAGTACAGAAAACACACCTCGGGAATATTTATTAGACTTTAATGTGTCATCTTTGACTTTTCTGTAGCTGTGCGTGTTATTGTGTCACCCTTTTCCTCCCCAAAAGAATGTTATGAGTGAATTTATGAGGATTCATCTAAATGCAAAATAACATATGTAAGTATATTAGTATGCAAGTACACCCACCTTCTGCAGGTGTAATCACATCATCCTGCGCTGCTGGGCCTACTTCTCCAGACACTTTGGCTCTGACGGCCAACGTGTACCTTGTGAAGGGACTCAAACCAGTCAGAGCAAACCGCGTGTCTGCTGTGCTGTTCTCATACAAATATCCTGGGATGAAGGGGAAATAGAAACGTGTGGATTTCAATCAGTTTAGAGTTTATGCAGTTAAAGTTTATGCATTAATGTGAGTGTATTTCAAAACCTGTAGGTCCATAAAGGTAGATAACGTAGGTGTTTTTTCCTGTGATGATGTTGGGAGAGCTCCAGGACACGGATATAGATCTAGATGTCATATTCAATACAACAAGGTTTGTTGGGGAGTCTTCTGGGGCTGCAGAAATAGAAATAAAGATGTTCTTAAATGTTGCAAATATTGAATATCCCACTAATCAATACACCAGTTAAACAGAAGCTACGGCCTGGTTTACTTCTTTTTCCACACCTGATTCTGGCATGCGGACCATAGTGGAGGCTATCTGTCCCTCTCCGTCAGAGGTGAAGGCAGAAACTTCGAATAGATATGCGGTATAAGGGCGTAGCTGATCAACCCCTACTGATATGGGCACACTCCAGGCGGCTGCAGGGGGCACAGCGGAGTGGGTGATGGGTGACGACGAGGCTGTTATCTCCACGGGACTGGGAGTCGCACGGGACAGGATATCGGCTGCATCCTGCACATACAAAATCATAAAGGACAATTCAAGCCTTATATAATACACATGACCGGATTTGTGCCTTGGTAGCATCTAAAATGCTGACACAAACAGAACATTTCACAATAACAGTTGAATTAAAAGAGGGTGACAGAATGATGCAGTACATTGCAGTGAGGCAGCGCTCCGGTCATGATGTCCTCTGCATTGACCTCCAGCGTGCGAACCGTCTGCCCGGTACGAGCGTGTTTAGCCTTGACAGCAAACTTTGTGATGAGGCCGTTGATGCGGTGTGGCAGGAACCAAGTAACCAACACATTGGTGTGGTTCTGAGAAAACGCTGTCAAGTTGGTCACCAGGCCAGGGGCTGCAGGAAATGCAACATAGCAGTGAGTGAGGCAGAACATATTTTGTTAAAGGTATAATGGAGCATTTGCCTGAAAAACAATGCATAGACTTACGCACACACACAAATAAATAAACAATTAGCAAGATCATTACTCTTTTAGATGTAAAGATTATTATGCAAATAGGTGTGCATGAAAACTCACGGGATTCCGCTGTCTTGATGTATAAAGATTTGCTGAAGGCTCCTATTCCAGCTGGAGATATGGCTGCTACCTGACGTGACAGAGAGTAAGAGAGGAAGTATGTATAATCATTAATTCATTCTCCTGTCAATAGGGCATGGATTAGCATCTGAGGCAATGATCACTGCAATAATGATACATTATACACGGGTATGTTGACAGTAATTAAAAGCACTCTGAATTGATTTAAACAGAATAAACTAAAATGAATGACAAATACATTAATAATGACATGAAAGTAAAATACCAATTTAAGTCTGATTATCAGGCTAATGGAGTATTCATCTAAAAGGACAATAATTAATGCCCCCTCTAAAACATCTTGGAACATCCATCTGCAGCTTCATTTACTTTATATTTGTACTGGAGCACTATGAAAAGCATTGTATATTAAACACACATTTTTACTTATCAATAAGTATACAACTTAATTATATGTAAATCTTTTTTGTGACATATTAGTTGTAGCTTACAGTATCTATGTTTTGATAGTTTGTCAGCTCAGCTTTGTGCATGGCATGGTGGGCCCACACACTCACAGGTGAGATATAGTAATAGGATACACACACACACACACACACACACACACACACACACACACACACACACACACACACACACACACACACACACACACACACACACACACACACACACACACACACACACACACACACACACACACACACACCACACACACACACACACACACACACACACACACACACACACACACACACACACACACACACACACACACACACACACACACACACTCACACTCATAAGCATACATGTGCGCACACAAGGTAGGTATAATCCCGCTGTGTGTCCATTTTAATGAAGGTCATTGTGGGTTAATGAATTCTGAAAACTAATAAGCACGATCACATTCAAGTTCAGTGACAACAGACAGTGGAAAGAGCCATGGCTGATCCATAGATCTGTTTACCTGATTAATAATGCAATCAGGATCAATTACCAGCATTAAGCCAGATCAAGAGAATAGTCTGCTCCAGTGGGATCTGTCCGCATGATAATACAGGAGGACAGGTCTCAGAAAAAGAAAAAAAGAATATGTAATACCACATCTAACAGTCATACCCATTGAATTTGTATGTTTGGACAAATCTTCGGCTAGTTGTATTTGAGTTCCCCAAAGCACATTCCTATCAGCTACCCTGTGACGGCATCAACCTTGAGTTGATTATCTCACCTCGATGTGGTATGTAGAGCCGGAGGTGAAGTCAGTGAGCAGGGTCTCTGGGATGTCCAGGTACTTGGTCACCTGTGTGAATGTGGGGTCGGGGTAGGGACACACCTCCTTGTACCTGCAGAGAGAAATCAGTTTTCACGATCATCATCTCCCAACTCACATTTTACCACACAGTACCAGGCTGGTTAAAGTACTCCAAATCTTAATTTGGATTTAGGTAAATTTGGCTAAGAAGAACAATAACTCAAGTACAGTATTTAAAAAAACACTTATGGTACTTGTTACTTAGTATTTATATGTTATGTTACCATACTCCATTATATTCAGAGGGGTATGAGAGGGCAATTCTATTATAAATATAATTAGCTTTTAAAACCTGAATATTGTCTGCTGAAATTAATGTCTCTCGTTGGGTTATTTTAGAAAAAAATTTTTTTAAGTCTTTAATGGGTTATTTTCGTATTAAATGAAGACTTAAAAAGGAGAAATAGAGTGTGTAATTCACATATATACCTAAATGTACATAAAAAGTAAGAGCAAATAAGTTATATATTACAAATTATTTATATTTTACAACACTATGATGTGTTTTATATCATTAAATATCTTTAAATTGTCTTTAACTACATTTATATGTTTTCATGATCTCATGATGACTCAGCACCTGATTGGCATTTGCAAAGACAATTGTGCTGCCTTAGACAAAGACAACAAAGGTTTCCTGTATTGTGAATTTCAGAATCACAGCCTATGTATATGGACCCATGGTAATAAAGCATTCATTGTATTCAAGCCAAGTCTTGAATTACAGTTTTCCAAGTAGACAACAAAGAATTACCTTATGACGTATCCGTCAATATTATCGCCATTAGATGGCGTTGTCCAGGAGAGAAGAATACCATTAGATCCTACGGCCTCTCCTTCTAGGCCAAAAGGTGGTCCAGCAACTACAGGAAGAGAAGGGAAGTGTGTGGAGGAGAGAAGAGTCTCATGTTTACTCTACAGTATCTAATATCATAAATAGGGCAAGCATCTAATATTGATATATTGTGTTAGATCAGTGGTTCTCAACTGGTCAGGCCTCGGGACCCACTTTTTACTTGGTCAATACATCGCGACCCAACATTTTGAAGCACTCAAATCTATTCAACAAAAAATCGTGCTGTAATATATACGCTTTTCAGCAAACAATATTAATAAAAGTGAAGTACAGTGCATATATCCCTTATATCCCTTCACAGAACTAAAGTATGCTTTTAAAAAAGGTTTAATGAAATGATGGAATCAAACCTGAACTATATAAAAAGGCACACATGCTGAAAACCCAACCCCAGCAGGGGGGTCTGGGGGGATTCTCCCCCAGGAGATTTTTAGAAATAGTAACATAAACTACGCATTCTGGTACACTCTGAGAAGAAAATAAATAAATCTATTACTACCCGACATATTAATAATATTTTATGCCATTGTTTGTTTTTCACTTTGTTCTGATATCTTGCTGCGAGAAGAGTAAAGAGGAGATAGTCTGTGTGACTTACTTTAAATTGTGGGTAAGGGTAGATAGCTCCCATTGTTCTGTGACCTGTCAATCATCAGACCGGGGGTCATATTTCATTGTGTGTTCATTTTTATCTGAAGTACCCATGGATGTAAAGAAGAGTTCTACCGCAACCCCGGCAACAATCTTGATTCTGATTGGCCAGAAGACTCGAAAAAACATCAGCAAATATATTTTATTGAGAAGATGATCACTACGTGACAGAAGTTTTCAAAACCGTTTATGGTCTCCGGTATTTCCAGTCCAACGCCGACTGCATGCACAGCGTTAGAAAATCGGGCCTTCAAAATAAAAGTTTGACTTTTTCCCAAAAAAAAAAATTCAAAATCTTTTTTTTTTCAATTTTTTTTCTTCACTCACACATTCGCGACCCACTCGAAACGGGTCCGCGACCCACCAGTTGAGAACCACTGTGTTAGATAACTACTGTATATCAAAACTAAATTGAACACAATATCCGGGTAACTTGAAGAATAGTGTTGTTGTCTGTCGGGGACTTATCTTCAAAGGGTTAGTATATGTGTGTGTGTTTGTGTGTATGTGTGTGTTTGTGTGTGTGTGTTTTTAAGGTTGAACTCTAATGAATAAGGCCTCACACAGCAGTGGCATTTCACTGACATTCACTGCAGACCCATTCATTCTGCGGTTCAAAAGCTCTGGCTTAAATTACCTAAGAGGAATTACACAGGGAACGGAGTATAAACCCCCCCACCCCTAACACACATACAAAGACACACACACTGTGCTGACTCCTTTCTCTCAGCAAGTGTGTATGTGCTATACAAGAACCGATTTGTACAGCAGAGGGCAGACGAGAACTTGATGGCACTTGAACTTCATCCCAAATTGCTCCTGTGGGGATTGTCCACAGTACCGAATGTATGTAAGTCGCTTTGGATAAAAGCGTCTAACAAATTACATGTAATGTAATCGTACAACAGCATCGTAGCATCAACAGCGCGCACGTCTTACCGCTCTCGTTGGTGTTGATCATGCGACTGACTCCGGGGCTGATGTTGGAGGAGGAGGATGCTGAGACCGTTACACTGTACTGTGTCCCCGGACTGACATTCACCACATCGGCCTGTGTAAACACACATTTAGGAATAAATTGTCAATCAAGAATTCTTCCATTAACACCCTCGTCATGATTTAAAAGAATGTTAATTAAAGAATTAATGTTTTTTTTAAAGTGTACATTGCTCTATAACTATATAAGAGAATGGAGAAAATGTCCTACCACAATTTCATAAAGCCTCAAATGTTGCTTGTTTATTGACTTGTTTTTGGCAAAAGTCACATTCCCAGATATTTAATTTGGTATCATATCAACATATCGGAAAGCAGAACATTTTCATAATTGTGAAGTTGGAAATAGAGAATTTTAGTAAGTATTTGTTTGAGAAAAAAAGTTTCTGTAAATAAAAGCAAGAAAAATCAAAACAATTCCTATAAAAACCTCAACAGCCTTCTGTTATTGTATTTCATCATATAGACTACTGAAGAATCATCACAAAAATGTAAAGCGAAACCTTGAATCTTCAGCCATCTGCATCAGTATAAAGGTGGGTGGTTGTAAATGGATGACAGCTTGTTTCTGCTAGCTTGTTTATATATTTATGTGTCTGGGTGACAGAAAACAGGTCTGCAGTCTTTTTGCTTTAGTGTGTGTTTCAACCAACATGTGCTCCTGTGATATCAGTATGTGGGGTGGTGATGAATCACACTAATAACTTATGTTACCAACTGGAAATATAAACAAACATTTTACAGTCTGTTAGTGTTAATATTATCTTCAGTATATTGGCATATAAACACCTACTGTATGTGCACAGCAATGCCATATATTGAGTGTTGAATTCTTACCTGTGAGTGTACCTGTCCCAGGCAGAGTGTGAGCAGCAGGATGAGAGAGGAGAAGGCCATGCTGGGTAGCAGAGTTAGCTTTAGTTTAGACACAGCAGGTTAGAGGCCTCGCCAGGAAACATGCATCCAGTGTTAGTGCTTGATGGTTAGCAGTGATCTACAGGTAATCCACGGAGGTAAACAGGAATAACTCCAGGTTTAGGAGCCGGTTAGTGACATGAGTAAAGATCACAGGGTTAGTTATCCAGGCATCGGAAATAAACAGCTCTTGGTCTTGAGGTATTCCAAAAGTTGTTTTGGCTAACCAGGGAAGGCAGAGGGTCCTCTCATTAGCACAAGGCAAACGTTCTCCCTCTTGTCTCTCTCTCCGGGGAGAGCTGCTTAAGCAAATGAATGATTCAGGGTTGAGCTCATGAGGCCAATTCAATAAATAATGAGATCTATTACTCAACTGTGTGCCTCTGTGTGTGTGCTGTGTAAGGTTACATTTTGGGGGGTATCCGACACCTGGCAGCAGGTAGGAGACAGCAAGGGGCGGGATTTGGTTGAATGGGAGGAATGATAATGCATGCATGTTTGAGTGGTTATGTTTTGTGCATTTAGAATCATAACTCAGCTGCAAGTCAAGAGCAAGACAATGCTAGGCTCCTCCAAGGTCTTGGTATTCACACAAACTGTAATGTCCTGTTGTCTAAATGTTGACAATGACTTTATTTGGTGATGAACTAAATACAAATTAAATAAATATATCATTTCAACTACACAGTGTGTTTTATTGAGTGTGTACCTCAATATATCCGTCATGTGCAGGGTGCACTGTGACTTTTCCATGGTTCGGTAGAAGGGTGACTTGGTAGTGATCCACACACCCCGCCGCCTGCTCCCAGCGAAGCGAGAATGCATGTGCCAACACATTCATGATACGCACTCCTCGCACAGGGGCTGGCACTCATGGAAGACAGTAAAGGGAGAAATGGAGTCAGACAGGTGAGACAGTTTCAGTAATTTAGTGAAAAGCCAATCAGGGTTGGAGATTATGTTGTGTTGCAGCCCCTCATGTTTTCATCTACCTGTGGTCACAGTCAGAAAGGCAGCGCTCCCTGCTTTCACCCCTCTCACTCTCTCAGCGCTCACGTTGTAGCTGCAGCCATCCGCCAGACCTGTAAACACGGCAACCCGCTTCTCCCTGGGAACGGTGAGTGTGTTTGTGACTGACGTGTTGACCACAGTGACTCTGTGAAAGTCAAACTCTCCTACAGCACTGTCCCAGCTCACAGAGATAGAGGAGGAGTTCATGTTTTCTACATGAAGGGCGCATAATCCTGCTGGGCCTGGAAACAAATATTTGTTTTATTTACAACTTTAGTTTTCATCTCTTAGGCCACATTTAATGTATTTGTCTGTGTCGCTAGGGCTTTATGTTCTAACTGAGGAATCACCCAAAGCGTTCTGTAATGCTGCACAGATTTAAGGCCTGTCTGTTTTTGTGTCTGTGTACCTGCATGCATGAGTGTGTCTTACGTGTGCTGAACTCTCGGAGGACGGGCTGACTGGTTTCTGAGCTCAGCACGCTCTGAATGCTGACACAATAGTCTGATCCCGGGATCAAATCCCTGATCTCATAACATGTGCCCCGGACAAGCACCTCAATCCAAGACTTCCTGTCCACAGACCGCAGGCCAAAAACAAGCTGAGAAATACAAAAATAAATCCCTTTTGAGGCCTTACAAAACGTCATTCAAGTTTCAATTACACTTTTTTGTTCTTCAATCCTGTATATATCGAATAATGTTTCTAGTTTATTTCTGTGGGTATGTAATGTGCTTGGTCATTCTCCCTGGTCGGGGCTCTACAGAGGTCATACATCTTTAAAGGGCTGGTAACTAAATATGTGGTGTGTCGACAAAAGGTTGCTAAGTAACCAACAGGTGAGTGCAGTGCAGGCCCTGACGCAAGAGGCCTCATTTGTCCTCGAACAAAAAAAAATGTGTTTGTAAGACAAATGACAAGGACTTCTTGAAAGTTAGAATGTGTACCAAAATATAATGCCCATCTCTCCTTCTGTGATTGATAAGGTGCAGCAGTTTTATCTCACCGTGTACCCCTCCACCTGTCCTAGTGGTGCTCTCCAGGTGACAAACACAGACGTCACTACCTGCTCTGAAAGAACCACATCCTGCGGCATCCCTGGATCTGGAGACCATATTTCCATTAGCATGTGCCAGTAAGTAGACTCATAATCATCGTTTGTATCTCTAGGTAATACATACATACATATACCAACCCAGTCTCATGGCATTTCGTGTTCACCAACACGATTTTTAATCTATTGATTCGTGATCACCAACACGATTTCCCCCTTTTTTTCGTGTTGCACAGCACGATTTTAAAAGCAATGTATTTCTACTGGTAATGACGCTCATGGAAGCACGGCATTCGTCTATGTCGGCTGCCCTTAAAGGCAATGTGAGCGTCCATTCTCATTGGATAACGGATAATTGTACACCCGGAAGTAAGTATTCCCCTTACTGTCGATTGATTTTACAGTGATATCTGCACTACTCATCGACTAAAAAACACCAGATTATCCTTGTTAATTACACAACATTGATTGGTTTAAATTGTGTGCAATGCTTTTGTATTTTTCCCCTTCGATTCGGAGAAACAAATATTTTTTCGGAGTAAAGGATGGCAGAAAACACTACACTACCCAGAATCCCCAGCTATCGTTTGGACTACACCATGTGCTCTGTTTGACAAACCCCGTTTTTTTTCACCATTCATTCCAATGGCTGGCGTCTATGTCACGTGATCTTCAAATTTCTCCCTGCAGAAAAAAAAACATGGCCGAACTTCGTTTTATTCTCGTTGGAAAATGCCTATTTAAAGTTAGTTTGGCCATTAAAATGCGTTTTGATGTCATTTGATGCGAGAAATATGAGTTGTTATTTCAGATTATGTGTGCAGTGGATGTACATGATCTTTAGTTTGCTAGTTATTACGAAGATTACTTCAGGAAGTTTTCATTGCTACCAAGGTGGTTGCTAGGGACGCTGCTATCGATATTATTTCTGTTATGTTGTGTAACTGTTTAATGGTGTTATCTTTATTGCTACCCCCTTCCCCGTCAACGTATAGTGTTGGTCCACAGCGCAAACATATTAGTTTAACAAAATCCGCATCTAAAGATAGCCTACGTTATTTTCCTCTGTGCAATTCCAGTCTCACATCTCACAGCACATCGTCATTAACAAATAACGGAAACAGACCGAAAACATTTAAAAAAAATACTTTATTCCGAGTGTGCTTGCTTTTCTCTTTGAAAGTCATCACATAACGGCATTGTAATACACGGTTCGGCTCCATTACATATCTCCCGTAGTTCTGTATTTATAGAGCCCTGATGAGAAGACTTCTAGACAAACATGAGGAACTGAAAACGTGACGTGGATCATAAATATATCAGCCATTAAACAACATCTTACATTTCTTTTCACACAATACGTCTCCTTGCAGTATCAACACTAATTCGGCTGACTTTTATATTTGATCCAATTGGTAGATAGGCTGTATTTACACCATAAAGGTGCACAGCTGATATAAAGGGACACCTAGTGGTTAAAGCATGTTATTGAATTTCAATATTTTTATTATTAGATATGAATAGGATCCCTATAAAGTATATTCATTACTCATTATTCTCTACTAATAGTTAATTAAAGACTGTATATAATGACTATTTTGCACATCCCTTTCAAGATTTTCTAAGGTTTATTGACATATCATATAGCCATAGACCTACACAACTATGGTGTAGTTATGCATTGAATGAAAAACTTGGGTCGCAGGTTCCTCAATAGTGCATTACAAGACATTTATCAATATTTGTGCATACCTCCAGCAATGTTAACTATGTTGAAGCACTTATTTTAACTGATATTATACATAATGTATTATACTCTTATAAGATGTATGTAGATATTTCATCTCCGGCCTTGTCAGGTATTGAACAATCAATAAATAAAGAACACAGAATTGTTAAATATAAAACACAGAATTTGTGTGATTATACTAAATGATTTACAAATAAACACCACTGCATATTTACAACTGTTACACATGCTGATGTAACGCAAATGTTCCAACTTGGGATCAATAAAGTATATATTATCTTAAGCTGATCGATGGCTACTGCCATATTTGCAAAATGTGCCTCTGAACCTTGACAAGTGCATGTTTCAGGCTTATCAATTAATGTAATGTAATGTTATCAATTAACAACAGGGGTCACAAACATAAGACCAGCTGTTAAATAAAGCTCTTCTGACCTTAGCTGGCATGTGTGTATATATATTAATGCTGCCCATTATGGGCACAAGCAATTTTCACCCATTTATTAATTATATGTTTTAAATTTGAGTGTTTCCTATCCCCTAAACCTCCAGGGATGTACACGGTTTAATACTGACAACTTCTTATTATGGGAAATACGAAAACGTCTTTTAAAACTACAACTCCCAGTAGAGACGTGCCATAGATAAAGAACATGTTGCGAAACAGAATAGCCAGCATGTGTAGTTCTGGGGACGGGGTGGGGGAGGGGGGGGACGCGGTGGACCCGTTCAAATCCAGTTTTGGACAGTCTGCAGTGGTTCCATCCCATTTCAAGTGCTGTTCGAGGCTCGGCGTAACCCTCAGAGCACACTCTCCAATCACAGAGCTTGAGGACTATCACGGGGTTTGTCAAACAGAGCACATGGTGTAGTCCTAAACGATAGCTGGGGATTCTGGGTAGTGTAGTGTCTTCTGCTATCCTTTACTCCGAAAAAATATTTGTTTCTCCGAATCGAAGGGGAAAAATACAAAAGCATTGCACATAATTTAAACCAATCAATGTTGTGTAATTAACAAGGATAATCTGGTGTTGTTTAGTCGATGAGTAGTGCAGATATCACTGTAAAATCAATCGACAGTAAGGGGAATACTTACAATTCTCCGTTATCCAATGAGAATGGACACTCACATTGCCTTTATGGGCAGCCGACACAAACGAATGCCGTGCTTCCATGAGCGTCATTACCAGTAGAAATACATTGCTTTTAAAATCGTGCTGTGCAACACGAAAACAATGGGGAAAATCGTGTTGGTGAACACGAATCAATAGATTAAAAATCGTGTTGGTGAACACGAAATGCCATGAGACTGGGTTGTATATACACATGTGATAACAAGCATGGGAGTGAACTTTTTACATACTGTATAGGTTCACTTTAAACCGGCATGGGAAAGAAACTGAAAACAGACATTAGACCCATATGCTCAACAGCTTGTGCTATAATTTCTATTCTGACAATGATTTATTTCGAACTACAATCTTACTTGGTTTCTCAAGGTTTATATGGCATTCATTAACTACCTTTACAAACCATTTAAAATCTTACTTTCTTACTCCATTATGCATTTTATGTTGTATTCACATTCTCACTATCATTTCACACACAAATGTGGGCACACACACAACCTATATTTGGTGTCAGTTACTGTATGTTTTGAAACTTTGAAACGTACAAGTATGGAGGATCATAGTGGCAGGTTTACTCCTTCTTCCCCCGCTGGTGCTTGTCACTTCAATTGTATATTGGCTTCCGTAAGCGAGGCCTTCGAAGCTGTATGACCTGAGAACACACAGTCAGTGTTTTAAAGCACAAGCTTTGAGTAAACCATGTTGCACTCAGCAGCAGATCTTATTATAAAATAAAATGTGGACATTCTACTCTCATGAAATTGTAATAATTTGTGCACTGGCTGACAAGATTGAGACTGACCCGGCCTTTTGATGAGGGATGATCAGCTCTTGGCTGGATGTTCTGTTTTTGATTGACAGGATGAGTCCGCTTGCAACTCCCCTGATATTACTCCAACGAATGTATACGGATGATGTTGTTTTATTGACAAGAGACAACTCCACTGGGTAATAAAAAACACCACACAAAGTTAGTGAATTAAACAGAAATATCAGTGTGTGTACGTGTGTGCATCTGTGTGTGTGTGCATACCTGCAATGATTTTGATGGTGACAGGGGAACTATCTGTAAAGGAATCCTTCTCTGTTCGTACTGCAAAGTGGTAGAGCATGCCTGGAGTCAGAGTAGAAAAGGTTGCACTCTGATTGAACACCTTCTGCACCTTTAGCACAAAAATAAAAATACCAAGAAGCCTTGTTATCTTCCTTACAGTAACAGCATACGTTGGCAGGAAGAGGGATGTTTGACGAAATAAAATCATAGAGGACAACATGTTTTTGTTTGTTTACCTTGTGTGAATGGTGACAGTTGAAGCAGGTAATCTCGTAGCTGTGAGCCTGTCCTTCTGCCTGATCCCAGAGCAGCTGAATGGATGAGTCTGTCACCACACCTTCCTTCACTCTGATTGGAGGAGCCAGACCTAAAATCACAAACCACATCCCACCCATGTTGTACTTACTCCTCCAATTATTTTTTCAGCCAATAACACATAGACATAGAATATACAGATGACTAGCCCATGTATGTTCATTGGAATAATTTGACATATTATTTTAATTTTGTATTTGAATGCCTCAGTTATGTAAAACAAGATTTTTGATGTATGCAAAATAAACACAACATATTCATAGATTTGTTTGATTAGAATATCATCTTAAACTATTATACATTAAAAATGTAAATTCAATTTCTTGAACAATAAAGAAAAACTAGAGAATGCAATTCCTGAAGAAATTGCTAGTGGGAATGCTTTATGCTGAAAAGCTGACACTGAATTGCTATGCTGAAATGTAATGTGAAAGTGAAGAATTTAGATTGAAATTATACATGAACACTGGGGGCTTGAATGTGTGATGAGAGAAGAAAAGAAAGTAAAAAGGCTTGGCAAAGCAGCAGAATGTTTGAACTGTAAACTTTTGAACTAATTTGATGGCAAATGATCTGTCGCCATGGCAACGACATTTGATGACACCCCATAATACGCTTAGATGTGTTGATGGCTGCATCGTTACCAAACCTGTGAAGGTTTGGGCCATTTCGAGCATTTTAACTGAAGTTGTGAGAAAACAGTGTTTCATAGTGAGCATTGTGTTGCCAAGGCAACGGCATTTGAAGAAATCTTAAAACTGTCAAATAGATGTCTTCACGGCTGGACTGTTAGCACACATGTGAAGTTTGAGCACTTTTTGACAATTTTCATAGGAGTTATAGCAATATCGTGTTTTACGGCGAGGGATGTGTTGCCATGGCAACAGCTTTTGAGGAAAACTCACTAATAGCACATAGACATGTTGAAGGCCGGACCATTAACCATTATCTGAAGTCTGCTGCTCTGAGCATGTCAGTTGGAGTTATGATATCGTGTTCCATGACACAGGTGTTTATGTTTGAGCTAACGACGTGCCCAGAGATCAAAGGTTTCCATGGTGATGTGCAGTAATCAGTGAGAGGAGAGCATTTGCATTGTTCTGAATGAGAGATAAACCTCTTATATGTGAACGTTTTGTTGAAGAACCGTAACATATATCGGTGAAATTTCAAAGCGTGAGGCATCTCAAGAACTCTGAGCATCTGAAGTGTGCTTTATGTGTACTTTCGGGTTAATAATGTGGCCGTTTTGGCAGATTAACTAAAGGTGTGCTGCTGTGGTGGGGAAAGATGAGGATGAACTTACAATGGGGTTTAATGGAGACATGTTGAAAGATTTTGTCACTTCATGCCCACAAGAGGCATTTTGTTTAATTTTTTTGCTTAATTTTTTTTAATTTTTCAAGCTACGAGATGTTTTCCTACGTTTCTCATGAAAAATTATGTCTCAGGAGTGTAGGGTTTGGGAATTATGGCAGGTTTAAAAAAAGATATGAAGGCGAATTTCAATCTGTCCTCCACTCTAGCTGTGACATCACGCATTCTAGCCTTAACGAGCTGCGCAATACACACTAATGTTAAAATCTGAAGAAGACCTCTTTACCAAGGTCTGAACAATGTTTAATATCTCTAAAAGTATGAATCTGATTTAAAAGTTGTTTAAGATGAATAATGTCAGAAAGATGTGTAACATTTTAAAGTTAGAATGAGGTTTCTGAGTGAAGGTATGAAGGAGCAGTTAACAGTTGAAGTTGCATGAAGAGTGTTCAAGTCTGAAGAGTTTCTCCATTAACTTCCATGTTAAAAATGTGATGAATTATGGGATGTATCTCTGGAATTATGAAAGTTATGAATGAGAAAAGTAATAGCAATCGATTCCCGACTGAGCTGAATGTTTTTATGTTTGAATGGAGTTTCTGCGATGTGGAATGTGGGAGAAGAAGAGGTACAAAATAACCCGGCGGAATAATAAAGAATTTCATGCGTTGAAGAACAGATAGTGGGAATGTTATATCAGCATTCCCACTAAAATATACATTTATGTATATCTATATCATTTAAATGAATTAATCTCAAACATGATTGCCACTGACCCCTGGGGGTCCTGGGTCACTTGTAAAACCTCATTCTAATGTATATGCTATTTAAGGACAGTATTGCAGTTAAAATGAAATGTGTTTGTCTACAGTGCTTTATTATTGGCCAAAACCAAGTCGTATTTATCTTTTAAAGATCTAGAAAGGGTTATTAATGCCTTTGTAACCTCAAGACTGGACTATTGCAACGCTCTGTATGTGGGTATGGACCAGGCCTCAATTAAACGCCTGCAGCTCGTCCAAAACGCAGCTGCACGTCTTCTGACTCGCCACAAAAAGTGTGACCACATCACCCCAATTCTGGCCTCATTGCACTGGCTTCCAATTCGGTTCCGAATTGATTTTAAAATCTTTTGATTTGTTTTCAAAGCCCTAAATGGGCTGGCTCCTGCCTATATAGCCAAACTCCTCCATCGCTACACCCCAGCCAGAGCTTTAAGGTCTGCTGACCAGCTGTTGCTGATAGTGCCCAAGACCAGGCTCAAAACCCGAGGTCACCGAGCCTTCGCAGCAGCTGGCCCCAGGCTCTGGAACAGTCTGCCCCTCCATGTGAGGTCGGCCGAGACACTAGGGGTTTTTAAATCCTCGCTAAAAACACACTTCTTCTCCTTGGCCTTCTAGTCAGAGCGGAGCATGACACCTGACTATTCCCTTTTGTTTTTTATATTTCTGTTGTAAATGATTGTCTTTTATTGTGATTGTAGTAATGTGTTTTTATTACATGTACAGCACTTTGGCTTTTAAATGTGCTATATAAATAAAACTTGATTTGATTTGAAACCTGATTTATAAAAAATGCAAATGTATTTATTAAAAGTTCTAGTTATATAATTATATCAAAACAACATGGTTTGAATAACAAAAAACACCACATACACTTGTTTGAAAAATTAATTCTTCTCCCCAGGCCACCCATTTGAATTTTATTTAGTTGCAAAAAGAAAAAAAGCTCAGCCACATCAATGACACGGCTTGATTTAGGGGATCTTTCTGCCTTAAGAAGCACACTGGCTCATAACAAGATTAATATCAAACATACATTCTTACATTGTTTCCCTAGCTTGAGGCCTGACCTAAATGGTGTTTCGCTAAAAAAATGAATACCAAAAAGGTCAACTGTAAAGTGGTACAATATGAAGGTGAATTAATTTGATCTATTTTCTGCAATCTGCAATACATTTAAAAATATATATTTGTTTTTTAAATTACGGCAGTACAATTGTAGCAGTGATGAGAGAAAAGGTGATGAGAGGACTTCTCCAGGTTACAATACAATAACAACGAAGGACCCACTATGTTTTGAGATCATTAAAGTAGATATCAGTCCAAATGATTTTTCTGACACCTTCAAGATAGAAGCATTTTAAATGTCTCTGCTGTCATGAACCATGTGCATAAGTATGTGCTACAGTTGTATTAAAAGTGGTTCCTCACTTGTTTTAAAGGGGCGGGAGTAGTAAGGTGGTCCCATCTGTGCCCGGCTTGTGCTGAACACCCTGAGCTGCAGCTCGGAGCCTGGACTGAGGTTGCTCAGGGTTATGATGTGAACTCCAGCAGGGAGGGAGTACCAGTTGCATGCTGTCAGACACAATCCCTCACACATACTGTCACACAATCCTGGACACACACACACTTTGACCCCATCGATCACACCCAGCTGTGGCCGCTGGATGTACAGTTGTGTGGAGTATGTGCCCACAGAAAGAGGGACTGCTACCTGTACTTGCAATGGGTCTACACATAAAGAGAGAGAAACAGATGGAAATATTGTTTACAAAATTACCAGTTTGGTTAAAAGGCTCTTTGTTTACACTGTTAAGCACTGGGATAACCATTTTTCAAGTCAGTCAGGAGCCCATTTGTAAATTGCTACGTGTTTTACTTGCTGAAATCATTCCTCATAATCATTTAGGTCATGGTGAAAAATACCAAAGTCCACCATGTGTCAATATATTAAAATATGTTAAAATGAGCTTAAACTTTGGAAATTGATCAATTCAAGCTTCATCATGTTTAGTATAATTCCCTCTGTTTGTTACTATGTTTCCACTGCACCTCAACAGGGAAACACTGTCTGGGAAAACACAAAGCTTTCACTTTGGAAAACACCCCACTAGCTACCTCAGACTACGGAAGCCTCATTTAGGCTTCAGATAAAGTTTTAAACAAAGTTTTAAATACATTGAAACTGCACAAAGTGACAACTGTGGATTTTAAAGAAATCATTGAATCAACAAAACATGTTTCAATGTACATATGACTATTGAACTATTTATGTATTTCTGTTTCTCTTACCTGTGGTATGTATGGTTTTGGTCATCTCACTCCTGTCTTCACCCCTCAAAGAGACCACTCCCACTTCATAAGTCTGACCTGGAGTAAATGTGCCCAGATTTACACACACAGTGTCATTCACCCAGTGTGCACCAGGACTGGTCTGGTTCATCCACAGTGAGGTTGGTGGGGAGTCAATCAGCGGTTGCGATGTGATATAATAACGATCTGGTGGGTCATCAGGTGAGCTGGTCCAGCAGACAGTCAAATGTACTGTTCCGCTCAACACAAACAGACCACTAAGGGGCCTCACCGCTAGGAAATGCAAAAGGAAAAAAGCGATATTGTTTTCAAGTAACTTTGGTCAAAGCAATACAGTTTGTAAAACATCTTCAAATAGGATGTTAATATTTTACAAGTTGCAATAACAGTTAATCAGCAGTTTTTTATCTTGAGAGGATGCCACCTCATTGTGGGCACCTTATTTTGAGGTAGGGTTGCCTTCAAGAACTGAAGACCCCAGTCGGGAAAAAAGTAAATTCACTTCACAACAAACAATGTTAGTTGGTATTGTGTTGGGCTGAACCTCTTGAGAATTTCAAATGCGATGATTTTTGATTGATATAGCAATCACAATAACAATATTGGAGGGAATTGTAATATTGTCATTATTATTTATCGAAAAACACCATTAAATGATAATGGCATGATTTTTCGAGAACAATTACTTCAAGATGTCGGTAGAAAACAATTTGTAGTTTGGGACATCTCTGCAACACCATAATACCTATTGAAGACTGACATACTATATTCAGGGTTCTTACACCTTTTCTAAAGTAAAATTCAAGCACTTATCAAGCATTTTCAAGGTGCATTTTCAAGCTTTTCAAGCATCTTACAGCTGTTGTAAATTACATATTTATATACACATACTCAAATGATTATTTCCCTACCTCACATTAAATCCGATGTTCTTTATGCTATAAACAACCAAATGTGTGTTTCGTGATAGCCTTCTACAAGAGGATGAACAATTAAAGAAAAGAAAACTAAGTTTAATATTTCAAAATGAGTTACCCATCTGTAAGTAGACTGGGCATCCCATATAACCTGGCTGAGCCAAATAACTTTTCAATACATTATTGATTACTATTTTTGAGGTACTTTTAGGTTGGCAGTAAACAAAAGTCAGAGGTAAAAGGTGTACTTCTACTCCACTACATGTATTTAATACCGTTAGTTACTTTACAGATGTGGATAATTGATGTGAAATATAACCAAGTGTTAAATCAGACTTTAGTTCCACCTGAAGTAAATTCACAAGCTACCCTGCAGTATACAAAGTCATTCAAACTAGCTGCACCTTTACCAGCTTTGAGAACACTTTCATGATCAATCATTATAAAACATATCATATATTATTCTGAAATGGACCAATCTGCACAATGACTACTTTTACTGCTACTTTCACTATATTTTGATGAGAATACTTTTCTACTTTCACTTGAGGAACATTTTGAACGCAGGACTTTTACTGTAACAGAGTATTCCTACACTCTGGTACTTCTACTTTTACTCAAGTTTTTACTCAAGTACAATATCTGAGTACTTATTCCACCTCTGGTAGCGTATTAGCCTGAATTGTAGCCACAAAATCACGCAGAGCTGCATAAAAATAGACTCACAAAGGTAACTAATATTTACAAATGTGTACAATGATTTGTAGGTAATGTTGACTACTCAAGATACCTGACTTATATATCTTCAAAGGAAGACTGTGTTCATTCTACAATTACATGATGGGATTAAAGCAAAATGTAGTTTTACTTGTATAATACTTCAAGATTTTATATAAAAGCCTGTCTCGAAAAGTATCAACCATAGCAACGCGGTCAAATCCTCAGTTTATAATTTATAACAACATACTAACATACTACATACCATGCTGTCATGAACGCGCGGTGCTGTTACGTGTACGCAAATTCACGTGCTTAATGTGAACGAGCCTTTTGGGCGGCGTGGTTAAAGTTGCGCATGCTCTATGAGTGCACATACGGGTACTTCTCAGGCATGCCGGGTAATCTGTGACGTTTCGCTCTCTCAAAAGTTGGGCCATTTTGTCATCATGCGCCATTGAGCAACTCTCATAGGAATGAATGAGGCCCCGCCTCCCACGCTGTATCCAGTTCTTATTATACATCCATGGTGGTCACACGCAACAAAAACACTTGTGGTCATAGCATAGCGCGGGAAGGCCGGAGCTGAGCTGTTTTATGTAAAAGCGAAGCAATTTGGCGCGCTCCGACTTCTTTATTTTCTTTTAATCTAAAAAGCGAAGTAAAGCATGTACAATTTCAAGCACTTTATCCCAAATTCAAGCACTTTTCAAACCTTGAAAACACCTCGTACAATTTCAAGCATTTTCAAGGATTTCCAGCACCCGTAGCCATAGGCCTACGTAATATTACGGAAAAAAAAATATTTCCAATATTTGTTAATACTAATCCATATTGCGATTTTGATCAAAGCAGTCCGATAAAGTGTCACTAAAGACAAACAATAATGATAACTTGATTCAATTAAATAGCTAGTTTTAGAGTCCTTATAGGCTGCATCACTGTCACGGTTTACTGTTACATGCTTACCAGTCTGCACAGTCACAGGCGCTTGTCCACAGCTCTTTATCCCATACTGGGTGACGGTGTAAACTTCAACTGTGTATTTCCTGTAAGACTCCAGCCCTCCAATCACAGCAGAGTATGACTGTAACCCACCAGTCTCTGATAACTTGGAGATGTTGGTCATTCCAACTATCCTCTTTTGTCCTGAAGACATGTCCACATAGCGCACCAGAAATATCCATCCATCCTTTAATTGTGTATCTGTCAGCATCCAGTGGACACTAATCTGACTGACGGTAACGAGGCCAAAACTGATATTGTGAGGAGGAAGAGGTCCTGTAAGAAAGAGAAAACATAAAGCTTTAAAGTACCGTTAGCACAAGATGTGTAACTAATGTGTTATTACGTCAGCAAACTCACTCGTGTGTGCAGTCCGTGTTTGACCCAAGCTCCAGGTTGAGCCGCCAGGATAAGAGGCTCGAAGAGTGAAGGAGTAGACGCTCCCCGGAGACAAACCTGCCACAGTTACCCCTCTGGAGGAAAGGGAGATGGGGACCCTGACAATCTTTTCAACAATCCTCAGGCTCTGTGTCCTCTTTCTGTCCTCTGAATTCCTTATATCATCTTCGTTTTCTTGGTACTGGAGGAATGTCTCGAGAGAGGATATATTTAGAGAGTTTAAGGGTGAGAGGTCACTCCAACGCAGCTCTACCTGTTGCTCTGTCACCTGAAGCAGGTCAAAGGAGAAAGAGGCAGGGACTGGAGGGACTGTGAAAGAGAGAGAAGCAGAGTAACATCATAGCAACTTGGGAAGGACATGATTAATGCTCAATAATTAAATGGTTTGGGTAACTACTAAGTGTTTCGCATTACTTATTTAGCCTGAGATTAAGAAATATCAAGGGTTCAGGGCTGTGACATTGCAAAAGATGCTAAAAAATGTTTGATCATTTTAAAAGACTACATTTCTTAAAATGTTTAAATAATGCATGGGCAGTACATTCTGTGGTTAATACAAGTATATACATCATGTATTTACTCTGGTAATGGCAGATGAAGGGTAAGGGGATGTTACAGAAGAAAGGAGTGAGAAAGTATCCCGGCCCTGTGGCATTCCTCTGAAGGGCAAAACAGTCCGTCCGATTGGCCGGCAGTAATGACATCATAGTGTTCGTTAAGTTAAAGGCTGAACCATCAGACCAGCGAGGACGGCCCTCCTCCTGTGGGGGGACAGCAGAAAAACATTAAACGGTATACATGGGACCAGCATTCCCAGCTCACTGTCATTAAAGTGAAAGTATCAAAAACAAAACTCCTCTTTAAGGAGCAACCCCTGCTGTGGTGCTTTTTCTGTTTAGAAAGTAAACTTCTTTGCCAGGAAATCCCCCTGTGGTCTTACTTAGACTTGTATCATTCTGTAACAGAAGGATATAACGAAATGTGTGAAGACACCGAATTGCAGTCAGCCCGAGAGAAAACTGCTATTTAGTTTAGATAAGCTGGTTTTGAAATGTATTTGTATTGATAAGAACTTCATTTATATCTTTAGTATTCTATTCAATCGGTAAATCCTCCTAAGAGTAATATCATATGTAATACTTTTTACTATAAATATAAAACTCTCCTGACCATTTTCCTAAATATCATAATTTTGCACAATATATCATTTTATATTTCCTTTTTATAAATACACAAATATGTAAAATAAGTGATTTTTAGCTTCTTAAAAAAAACAAAAACTTAAATACATATATCACTCTTTTCTCACTAATATCAGGAGTTTTATTTAGTGTTGACAAATTATTTTGTCAAAAAGTTATATTATGGGGCATGGTCATCTCTTTAATCTATTGGTCCTGCAGTCCTCTTTCAATATATCCCTTAATTCCTCAAAGACTATTTTGCTTGAGTGTGACTGTCTTGCAGGACAGAATAACTGCTGAATTCCTGCAGCCTATAAAAAGGGTGCACTGTTTTATAAGTATTTAATCAAACGGTTTTTTCTGACGAATACCTTTCTAAATAACTAATTATAAAGTTTTTCATAAATATTCATGAAAATCCTCAAGCGTGACCAGTTGTTGGACAAGCTTGGTTCTCATTAGCTACTGCAAATGGGAGTGGAAAGTCACAACAAAAAGTAATTATGCATTATAGCTCACTAACGATCAATGTGGATATGTCTGTATTAAGGCTACCTGCTGGTCATTCAGTCCGGTCCATAGCAGCAGCAGGTTGTTGTCGCTCAGCAGATGGGATGATATAAAAAGCAGATCTTCATCTGTATTTATGTCAGCCAGGTGACTTCCAGCTGCCAGGTTTCTGCAGCTGAGCTGTGCATTTCTCCAGGCCAAACCGGTCCTTCTCACAGCGTAGCAACTTCTCCCATTGGCCAACCAACCAGAGGGGCACTGAGCTGGAGACATTATCATCAAGTAAATCTGTCACACAACACTTTGCATTCAATTTATAGGTTGATATGCAAGTTGTGGTGACATGATCATGGTAAATCAAATGTGTACAATACCTGTTTCCATGCCAATGCTGAGTATCTGGTTGATGGTCATATTAAGGTGTTTGAGGAACGTGGTCACCACAACTTTGGCCTTGAAGCGGGTGCCGGGCTGGAGACCTTTTACCATGTAACCAGAGTCTGATGAGTTTATGTTGAGGAAGTGTGTGACAGGTTGTGTGTGGCTGTTGAACAGACTCAAGGTGGATAAGCTTTGGTGCCTGTGAAGTTTCCACGTCAGGAGAGAAGTGGTAGCCATGGTGTATACATGAAGGGCAGACTGGGGGACTGGAACTGGACACAAATACAGAAAGAAGAGGAGACACGATGGAGGAGGTTAACATCAAGCAGCATACACCAAACACTAATCGAGTGTGTCATCTTTTCCATATGGACTGTGGTTTTTAGAGTTCAGAAGCACTCACTGAAGTGAAAAGTCTTTGCCTGAAGAGTACTAAGATTTCTGCTGGCACTAAGTTTGATGTTATATCCTCTCGGGTCCTCAACTAATTGCAGGGACATTTTGCAGTTAGGGGAGCATGCTGAATGATGAATGGGCTCCACATACACCTGCAGAAATGTGACAAATAATTTAGTTCACAAATAAGTTATAAACTTATAAAATGAAAACGGATAATAAACCTACTATTGTGTACTTACCAGCTGGTTCCTTGCAGTCATGCAGGTGACTGTGTAAGTGTCTGGATCTTCAGTGAAAGGGAAGGACTGAAACACAACTTCAACCTCAACAGGGTTTAAATGCTGTTCACAGGTCAGCAAGACCACCTGAAGAGGAGTAACATTTGTTTCAGAAGCCAAATATCCTGTAACTAAATAAACTGCACTCCTAAGAAGAAAATTAGGAATTGTGGATATTGAATACTCCACAGAACTGGACGTTTAGGCCTTTCTCTTACCTGGCATAAACTAGCAAGTAACCACAGACGCTCTGTTCCCCCCATTGGAAATGTCACTCCTCATTTCAACCAGCACTCACATCCACCTGGATACAAACGGTCAATATTAGGGAGAGGGACAGTGGGTCCTGGTCGTCCTCTCTGTTTTTGGTAAGTTCATAAAACACTCGCCCTGTGCGGAGACATCGGTTGTGGAAAGTCCCAAAATGTTTGGCTCGCTGACGTACCCCTGGGCGTCAAAAAGTGAACGGTTTGTAACTATTTAAGGCTTAACAAATATGTCTAGTAGTTATTCTTAAACTTTCGGAGAACTCCGATTGTTTTCTAGTTTCGCTTTACGCACAGCGTGGTCTTTGAATTTAGCGCGCACTCAGAGTTCAACGGCTGCTTCCCCCGAGAAGTAAAGCCTTAAGAGAGAGAGAGAGAGAGAGAGAGAGAGAGAGAGAGAGCGAGATGGAGAGACGGAGAGTGAGATGAAGAGAGAGAGGAGAGATGAGAGAGAGAGAAGATGAGGAGAGAGAGAGAGAGAGAGAGAGAGAGAGAGAGAGAGAGAGAGAGAGAGAGAGAGAGGAGAGAGAGAGAGAGAGAGAGGAGAGAGATGAGATGAGAGAGAGAGAGAGAGAGAGAGAGAGAGAGAGAGAGAGAGAGAGTGGGGGTCCGGGTGATTTGCTCTGGCTCTTTGTTGGGATAAGAGCAATTCACCATGACAACCTCAGGCACATGGCCACTCCAGAGCTGGGCTCCTGAGGAGAGGAGAGGAATGAGGGATTTGGGGCATACTGAGAGGAAGCGAGAGGAATCAGAGATGTGGTGGGGCTTTGTGGTAAACTGAGCTGTGCTCAGAGGGCACCAGCTCAATGCCTCTGGGTGACCCACAACCAGTCACAGCAGACAGGTCTGACATTTTGTTTTCATAACCTCTAAAATAAGCATGGGCTCAAAATTGCTCATGGTTTGGCTCAGGCCTTGGGTGTGGTGGAAGTGCTAGCCCAAGTGGAATGACAGGAATGTGAAAGGGAGAAATGATTGACAGGCAAAGAGCTGAGTCCACTAAGGGGTTCTGTTATGCAGAGGGGACTCCCACACAGCAATAACCTTAGAGGGAAAACACAAACACATGTCAGCACCACAGATGCTGAATCAGGATGAGTATGAGCTTTTAAGAAGGTTTTGAGAATGAGAAACCCAAAGAGTGCGTAAAAAGGACACATTTCAGGTCAAGATGGCAGACAATGTTTCAATAATTCACAAAAAGACACTGTTAAATCTTTTATTCCCCTACTTTACTTCAAAATACAGAAACTACAAAGAGCGCAAAGGTCACATTTCAGAAACTCATTAAACTTTTCTAACAAAACAATCCTTGGCATAACTTTAATTTTTTACAAAGGCTAAATGTATTTTCCAAGGCACACCAGAGTACTATTTGAACCCGACAAAGGATATAAAAAAATGCAACAAAATATGTGTCAACATGATATTAATTGTTAATATACATCAAGGCTAATGTTATCCTACCATCCCTTAAGAGCACTACAGTAGCAAGCTGACTTGGTTGGCACAGCAGGTCTTAAAGAAACTTGAAAACTACCTCTCAACTAATATCAGTTATTTTCAAAACTACAACTTATGGTCAGTGTAATAAAGTGTACTATAGTGACAAATACAATTAAAAATGGCTGGTTTGCTTCTTTATCAGTACTTTAAAAAGATTTCATCCCTCTATTCATACATTCTTTAAGCTTTCGTTCACTTTTCTGCATGGCCTTGTTTTTAGTTCCACTTGCAGGAGCAGTCCAGAGGCTCCTGGAAGTTGTAGTCCACCACTGTGGCGTTGCGAGAGCAGTACAGTGTAACAGAGCGAGTTTGTAGTCCACTCTCTCGGCAGCACTTACAGAACCGGGCGTGGCTGTTGATGTTAAAGTTGAAGATGGTGGCAGACGGGCATTTCCCATCACAAGAATAGACTGTTACCTGTAAACGAAAGAGGCTGATGACATATAGAGCAATGCATAATATTTGTATAATGTTTTAAACATTTTGAGTCGGCCTCCTAAATAAGTAAGCATGCTCTCTTCTCTCACCGGCGCATTGCTCCTGCAGTCATCTTTTCTAATGGTAGTTCGAATGGCCACACGTTTGCATGTCTTACCATCCTCTTTACCTACACACATGTTCACACACAAATAAGATGCATACAGATAGGCACACAATACTTTCAGAGGAATAATATTACCAACAGGACATACCATTTAACAGCAGAAAACATGAAGATGCAAGTTCAAACGTACACAAAGAAATGCCCACACACACACTGTTAAACATATTGTCACACACAAACACACTGATAATTTTACTGCAGAGATCTCACACAGCCCTGAAAGGCCTATTGAGCAGGGCTCTTTGTTGCCCAGCAGTAGGAGCTTTTTTTGATTGACAGGTGGGTAACGGGAGGCATAGTTCTCGCAGCAGAGATCCGGCTCTCATAATTGGCTATTGACCTAAACTTAACCTTACTTTAAAGCCAATCAAAGATGGTTAAAGGGATTGTGAATAGGGCTGGAATGTATTAATACATACAATGAATTTACTAGATGGCTTATTTTGTTTCACAACTGTTGTTAACACTTTGATATGGTGAAGCTAAATAGTATATTTAACATTGCATATTGTCTGATGTACGGTTTCACACTAGAGATGTGTGCAAGGTTAGATGTTCATGTGTAGTGTGATTTGGAAGTTAACCAGAGAGAGGAAAAAATGTGAAAGCAATCGTAAAAATAGACTCACATTCACACAAAGCTTGAAAGTGCAAGTGGATGAGTCACTGAGTGTCCAAAGAATTATTGTAAATTGGATAGTGCAAGATGGTGGTACCTGTGTCACAGTTAGTACTACCAGTGGGGGTTACAGGATTAACGGTAAATGGTAAAACACCCACTCCAGCACCTGGGAGCATCGTCAGGATCGCAGCCGCCGGGTTCAAAGAACGTCATGAGAACACACACAAGGTTACGTTTGGTTCAGAAAACACAGTTCAGCGTCACACACAAACACACAGAGGATGGAATCAGTGCAGCTGGCATGCACATGGATTTCTTTTTCTCTTTTGGTCCACACCGGGCAGCTGGCCAAGGAACTCAGTCATTTGATGTACTACAAAGAGCGGCTCAGCGGGGCAAACTCTAACCCCTGCACCATCACGCATCCTCATTGTTAAAACGCTCACTGTGGAGCGCCCTGATTGGCAGAACTGCAAGGTCGCTGCAAAAGCAGGCAAGCGGGCGAGGCTGCAATCCCGAATCCACAGAGAGAGAAAACATCACCGCTGCATGTTCATTAAAGCTTCAATTCACACCAGCTAGCAATATCCTATTACTCCTTATCCTTTTAATAAAGACAAATCAAACAGTTCACAGGTCCCAAATTATATTTCATATTTTTTTCTCAGCTGTGCTGCCGAAAAAACAGAAAATGTTGGGACAAACTCGGAAATTAATTGAGACGGGCCAACAACAGGCTGTATCTCCACCCTTCTACAACAGGCCACACCCCCAACCACTCAGCCAATAAGCCCATCCACTGCCAGGCAACAAGGCGCTCACCCCTCTGATTGAAAGCTCAAAGCATTACCAGAAGCATCAAATAAATGTAGAGACTCACATGTCCTGCAGCAACCGTCCACATAGCTCTGAACCACACCGCCATTCTGCAAGAAGAGAGTAAGACGAGGAACTACAGTTAATGGGAAACACAATTACAGGGACACAAGAGTCCAAAATACACAATACAATCCATAATACTGGTGCACCAATCAATAGTCCTACAGCTATAACTGGCAGATAAGAAGAAGAAGATTGAAGAAGATGAACCTTTATTAATCCCCCTAGGGGGATATTTCGTTTTTTTCACAATAGTTGAAAGTAAATAAATAAATTGCTGTCAAAGAAAAAAATCTATAAAATGTTAGCAGGGAATGTTCAATTCTGATACTTGAATTTGTATTATATTTCATAAAATTATTTCAATTATGTAAAACCTATAATGGCGCATTAGATAGGTTCAGACTAAACCTATCTACATGCTCTTAATGTCTTCAATTGTTTTAAAGCACTTTGAATTGCCTTGTGTTGAAAGCTATATAAATAAACTTGCCTTGCCTTGAATGTAAACAACAATTGGCTTCAAAAGTCCAACCATGAGTTGGGATATACACTGTAGCACAGTTAGAGGTCCTGACCTGAATACACTCTGTGTCATTGAAAGGCGGGCAGACCACCCCAGAGGCCAGTATCACGGCTCCCACTGCTGTCTCCATGCAGTCGTAGCGGGTGCAGTTCTCCACCCAGGAACTCCCTGCCTGCACACACAATCAGACTCAGTACTGCTCAGAAAGTGGAGCATTGATGCATGGATGTGTTTGTTCTTACAGCGAAAAGCTCTGTTGTCCCATTTTCGTTGGTGAAAGTACAGGAGACATTTTTACAGGAGCCGCAGCACACATGAGGGTCCGTAGATGTTGTATACACCTGGTGCTTTAAGATGATGCAAACGTAAAAGGGTGAGTACAACATGCAAAAAGGAAGACAATTGGATGGGGCATGTTCTATAAGCTCCAGTAAAATATATTTAATTAGACAAATACCCCTCACAGACTATGTGATCAATCAAAAAACTCAAAATGTTGTAATATGTAGGATACATACTGGCCCACATTTTTGAGTGCAGTTGACAGATGTTATTTCCATGGCGTAGAAGCCAGAGTCTGGATCTCTCTGATGCAGGCAGTGGACGGTGTAACACAATTCTCCTTCGAAGTACTGAACCAGAGACTGGCCTGGGCCCAGCACTGTAACCCCTTGGAAAATACACACCTCATCCTTCTCTATAAACACAAATGGAAAGTGAGTAATGTGGAGCAGTGGATGAAACAATGTCTACAGCATCAATTGTCACACTAGTCGGGTGTTACACATACGGCATGTATGCTGAGGACAGCCACAGTTAGGGCTTCCATCTGAAACCTCGACAGACACTTCCCCCTGAAAGTAAAACAGAGTGCTGACTCAACAGAATTTGCTCACTTTTTCTCCCTTATAGCAAAGACTTGATTAGACATTGACTTGTAATGCAGCTTTTTTGCTGACTTACCACCTGACAGATGGGGAGAGAGCTGTCCCCACATTGGCATTCTGGGAGAGACAGAGTGGAAGTTAGAGGTGGCTTGATGTTTGTGGAAGTACGTGACAGGCATATCAACTTCTGAGATTAGTCAAAGTATCAACTCAACACACACCAGCAAAAAAATGATGTATCTGTATGTAAGAGTGTTTTTGAGTGTGTACCGCAGTGGTGCCGCGGGCA